GGTGGGAGTGATGGGGTCGCGGAGCCTGGTGCGCAAGAGTACACAAGCTGCAGAGTTTTGGATGATCTGCAGCTTGTGAAGGGAAGAGTTGGGAAGGCCGATGAGGAGGGAGTTCCTGTAATCGAGCCTTGATGTGACAAATGCATGGGTGAGCGTTTCGGCAGCCTGAGGGGTGAGGCAGTGGCAGTGTCTGTCAATGTTGCGGAGGTGGTGGTAGGCAGTGCCAGTCGTGGCGCGGATATGGGGGAGAAAGTCAAACAAGACACCCAGGTTCCTGACTAGCTTAGTGAGGTTGAGTGCGCAGCTGTGGAGGCTGATGCTGCCAGCACACGAGGTACGGAGGCGCTGGCGCGAGCCAATTAAGAGTTCCTCAGTCTTGCTGATGTTCAGTTGGAGGCAAGGGAGGAAGCAAGGCAAAGGGACTGTGGGATGAATTTTCAGAGTGTGGGGCTGTGAAATTAATACTGATGGCACTGGACTTTCACAATTTACACCCAATGGAACAAACACTTCAAGATTCGGGTGGAATTTAGTAATGCAGTGTGAGACGGTTTGGAATACTGTATTAAATGTCAAACCTCTTGCTTTGCAGTTTCATCTGGACCATGATGCTGACTGAAATTGTTTGAAATGTATCATAACTGGTAAAGATTATTCATAAAATCAACTGATTGTTTTTAAATTCATTTAGCAAGGCTTCCCCACAGTTAATGCTGATCGCTATTAGATCAATTTTGTTTATCAACTTCAGTTTCTTTCTCCTCCCCTTTTCTATGCAAGTGCATAGTTTTCAAACAAGTAATTCTACCAATGACAAAGTGTCTCCTTGGGCAGGCTTGCAATGTTTCTGTTCAAATTCTGTAAGTATTACTGAAAGAATGCTCATGCCTTGTTGTTTGTGCTTTGCAGATTTAAGTGATTTTCTAATAGATTTGCCTTTTATTTTGCCCCAGGTCTGTTTCGCTGATTCTTTCAATTCCATGTCTTTCTGTCTGGAAGATCTGATTCAGCTGATGAAGCTGGAAGTTAAATTGCTATGCTGTTCTTTTTATTCAACTCCCAGCAACTCTCACCCTCCTGCACAACCAAAAGCTTTTAAAATTGTTAAAACTCTAGAAAAGTGTTGAATTTCTAGCTCAAGGGGTCTAGAAATTCTCCTTTGGCTGTCATTTCCACTCATTTAACCACAATTGGAGCCAAGTTTGGATATATTTAGAAAAAAACAATTTGGGCTGAAGTCTAAACAATAACAGCACAACAACAACAACAACAAGATTACATTTGTATAGCGCCTTTCACGTCAGGAGGACGTCCCAAGGCGCTGGACAGTGTACAGCATTTCAGACCTGAGCTGGTGTCAGGGGGGTAAGGGAGGGGAGGGGAAGGGGGGTGGCTGATGGCATGGTCGAAGAGGAGGGTCTTGAGGTGGGACTTGAAGGAGGCTAAGAAGGGGGCGAGGCGGAGTGACTGGGGGATGGAATTCCAGAGGTTGGGGGCAGAGTGGCTGAAGGCTCTCCCGCCAATGGTGGGGCAGGTGGGGTGGGGGACGTGGAGCAGGCCACAGCTAGCTGGGCGGAGGGAACGGGCGGGTTGGTAGGGGATTAGGAGGTCGCAGAGGTAGGGTGGAGCGAGGCCATGGAGGTCTTTGTACCCTCTGAAGGATAGGGAGCCAGTGGAGTCGGGCGAGAGTGGAGGAGATGGATTCACGGAGTTTGGTGCGGGAGAGGACAGGGGCTGCAGAGATCTGGATTATCTGCAGCCTGTGGAGGGAGGAGTTGGGAAGGCTGACAAGCAGGGCATTTGGAGTCGAGCCTGGAGGTGATGAAGGCATGAACAAGAATTTCAGCGGCCTGAGGGGTGAGGTAGTGGCGGAGTCGGGCGATGTTACTGAGGTGAGGGGAGGCAGAGCACGTCATGGCTTGGATGTGGGGGAGAAAAGACAGTTGAGGGTTGAACAAGACACCTGGGTTCCTGACTGGCTTGGTGAGTTATTGTGTGGAACCACACAAATAGAAAAAATCTGCACCTTTACAAAGGCTAAGGAATCAAAGGCTTTGTCTCCTAAAGCATTCTGAATCCAATATGTATATATATGTCTATGAAACCAATCATATAAAATTATTTTTACAGCAAATTTGTACCAGCAGACTTTAAAACACAATGCTTATGCCATGTTTTATTGAATGATTTTAAGTGTTCTGCGGCAAAGGATTGTCTTAAGAAGAATGTTGTACATAGACCGCTCTTTCTCTCCCTTCCCTGGTGATTCTGAAAAGGACACAATAACAACAACAAATTGCATTTATATGATGTCTCTCATGCCAGGAGGATAACCCATATTAGTGTACATTGGGAAATGATGGGGTATTTTTTTGAGGGAACTATTTGAATATTTTTAAGGTGAAAATTGGGTTCTAAAAAGAATTTCAAGAAATATAATTCTATAGAACTCTTTTGAAGAGCATGCAGCATTCCTGATATCCTGACCAATATTTTTTCCATCATACAAATACAGATAATGGTCATTGATTTTACTGCTGTATGTGAGATGTTATTGATGCAGATTATCTCTTATGTTTGTCTACATAACAAGCCACTACACTTCAAAGTAGGTCATTGCTTGTTAAGTATTTTGAGACATTCAATAGTGAAAAGGCATTATTTCAAATATTAATGACAATATCCTTGCATTTAATGCAACATATTTCATGTCAGGAGGATTCTCAAAGCATTTCACATGATTTACTGTAAAGTGCAGTGATTGTATTTTCTAGGAAATTTGAGCACAACAATATTTCATTGTCCTGAAATGAATGACTAATTTTATCTGTAAGTTATTCGCCAGGACAATGGGAGAAACTTGTAGCATCTGTATTCAAGTACTTTAGTGCCATGGGATGTTTCATGTCCATTTGAACACAGACAGGACATCAGGTTAACATCTTGTCTGAAGGGCAGCATCTCGGCCAATGTAATGTTCCCCCAAAACTGCAATGGGATTCCATCTTAGAGAGTGTGAAAATTCCTGATTTGGAGTTTGAGTACAAGCCCAACCTCCCTAGGAGTACAAGCCAGGTGTCAGCCTCGTTCAGTTGGTAGCAGGATTGCCTCTTGTGAGTTCAAGCCCCATGTCAGGACTTCAATCTCACGGTCTAAGATGACAGTGCTGGGGGTTGTGGCATTATCTGAAGTGCCGTTCCTTCGGGATGAGATGTTAAACTGAGGTCCCGTCTGCCCATTCAGGTGGACATTAAAGATCCCATGGCACTATTTGAAAAGAGAAGGGAGTTTGTTTCTGCTGTCCAGGCCAACAATTCCCCAGATAAAATTAGTCGCTCACTCCAATGGCTGTTTGTGGGCCATTGCTGCGGGTCAGGTCTGTGGGGCTGAATGTCTTACTCCGGTTCCTAAATTGGTTGCTGCATTCACCCACACAACACACTGCCACTCTATTTTACGGGGACATCTTCGATAACAGCTTTTAAGAGAGAACCGGATAGGTATCTGGGGAAGACGGGTTACGGGGAGAAAGCTGGTGACTGGGGTTAGTGAAAGCGACTCGCCCTGTCAAAGAGCCGGCACAGGCTCGATGGGCCGAATGGCCTCCTTCTGTGCCGTAACATTCTATGAATCTATTCTGTGAATCTTGTGAAGCGCTTTTGAGGTGTCCTCCTGTTTGGTATTAGATGTGAAGATCATTATTATTATTATTATTATTGTGAGCTGAGCACAAGCACACGAGGGCTCCAGCCACAGCACTGCTGTGCGCTTACCCTGCGTTAGATCGCAATTCTGATTCACGTGAAAAGATCCATTGGATACGACGAACCAACATTCCGCAAGACACCATAATGGGGTCCGACTTAAGGTATTTCCTAACGTAGCTCCAGCTACCGATGGAACTTACCCATCATATACCCAACTCCGATTTCTTACAAAGAAATCCCTCCCGCAATAACTACAGGGAATCGCACCATTTATGTCTGCGCTGTTCAGGTGAGCGAACCGTTGGCTGCGCGAGAAAGGGGCCCCTATGCTTTCTTGTGTTCTTTCATGTAGCAAGAAATCACTGAACGGGTAAGTTATCGTCAAACACGGAAGCGGTATCAGCATTAGTAATTCAATTTAATCACTAGCTGTATATGAATTATTTTGATAATGTGCCCATATTTGACTTGGCCAGCTCCAGTATAACTAATTTAGCTTGTTGTCGTTCAAGGTTACGATGCAACAAAAAAAAAGGTAAAACATCTAGAAGCCTTTCTCCACAGTAAGTTACTTTCGTTATACAGCGAATAGCAATTGGGCTTAAGCGGTCATTCTTTTTTATGGCGTTTTTTTTCTGTTTAAAATGTGTGAGGAACGTTAGCTCGGAAATCAGGAGAAACCTCTCGTCCTTCTTCGGAGTCATGTTACCGGAATGTTTCAACGCAAATGCAAATATTGTTTAACGTGTGAAGAACACGCAAACTGGACATCAGTCCTAATGTCTCATCTGAAGGACAGAACCTCCGGTGGAGTCCTGTAGCTCAGTGGTTAGAGCACTCGCTTTGCAAGCGAGAGACCTGAGTTCAATTCCAGGCAGAGGGCGAAACCTTGGGCAAGTTTCCTTACTCCACACAGAGCCTAATAATAATCCCTCCAAAAGCAAAAACAATAATAAATTGGTCATTTTCAATCCACGACTGTTTGTGGGACATTGCTGTGCGCAATTGGCTGCCGCGTTCGCCCACACATATACAGTCAATTCACTTTACAGTGTGTTCTGTGAAGCGCTTTGGGACGTCCTCCCGACGTGAAAAGCGCTATATCAAATGCAAGGATTATTATTATTATTATTATTATTATGGCACACAGTGCATTCGCATCAGATTCGCATTTCTCTTTGTGTGTGTTGGCCTCCAGAGGCGCTGCAGCGCAGCCAAGAGTCTGACAGCACAGCTCTGCTCTGCTCCTCCCCTCACTCCGGGAAGCTGTCGCTCGGCCACTCTGACGGACTCAAGTCGTCAGTCGCTCAAGGACGCGGCGCCACCGGCTGATGAGAGACATGCTGCGGCTCCTCGGCAACCTGATCCGCGGCGGCGGCACCGTGAGTACCGGGGCCCGGGGGGAGGGAGAGAGGGAGCGGCGCCGTGAGGCCCGGGGGAGGGGGAGGGAGGGGAGGGAGAGCGGCACCGTGAGTACCGGGGCCCGGGGGGAGGGGAGGGGAGGGAGGGAGCGGCACCGTGAGTACCGGGGCCCGGGGGGAGGGGAGGGAGGGAGCGGCGCCGTGAGTACCGGGGCCCGGGGGGAGGGAGCGGCACCGTGAGGCCCGGGGGGAGGGAGAGAGGATACCGGGGAGACGTTGACGATGTTGCCCGGAGCCCGAGGCTCTGTTGTGGGCCTGAGCCCGGGACCGGCTCTCTCTTTCCCGCCGTCGCCGAGTGACCCCACAGGCCCGAGGACATCCAGGGTCACAGAGCGGGAGGGAGGAGGGAGGGAGAGGCGCGGCTCAGGCTTCCCCTGTTCGTTGAGCTCCTGACGGGCGCCGCGACCCTCAGGCCTTGTCCTGGAGAGAAAACAGCCCAACATCACTCGCCAGTGACAGCCCGACCCCCAACTGGGTCCCCCTCCCCTCCTCCCGGGCTCCTCCCCCCGGCCCTCTCCCCCTCCTCCCCCCTCCTCCCCCGGCCCTCTCCTCCCCCCCTCCTCCCCGGCCCCTCCCCCCCCCCCCTCCCCCCCTCCCCCCCTCTCTCCCCCCTCCTCCCCCGGCCCTCCTCCCCCCCTCCCCTCCTCCCCGGCCCTCTCCCCCCCTCCCCTCCTCCCGGCCCCTCCCCCCCCCTCCCCCCTCCCCTCCCCCCCTCCCCCCCTCCTCCCCCCCTCCCCCCCTCCCCCCCTCCCCCCTCCCCTCCCTCCTCCCCGGCCCTCCTCCTCCCCCCCTCCCCCCCCCCTCCCCCCTCCCCTCCTCCTCCCCGGCCCCCTCTCCCCTCCTCCCCCCCCTCCTCCCCCCTCCCCCGGCCTCCTCTCCCCCCCTCCCCTCCCCCGGCCCCTCCTCTCCCCTCCTCCCCGCCCCTCTCCTCCCCCCCCCGGCCCTCTCCTCCTCCCCCCTCCCCCCTCTCCCCTCCCCCTCTCCCCCCCCCCTCCTCCTCCTCCCCTCCTCCCCGCCCTCTCCTCCCCCCTCCTCCCCGGCCCCTCCTCTCCCCCTCCTCCCCGGCCCTCTCCTCCTCCCCTCCCCGGCCCTCTCCTCCTCCCCTCCTCCCCGGCCCTCTCCTCTCCCCTCCTCCCCGGCCCTCTCCTCCTCCCCTCCTCCCCGGCCCTCTCCTCCCCGGCCCTCTCCCCCCTCCCCTCCCCGGCCCTCTCCTCTCCCCTCCTCCTCCCTTCAAAAACTCTTCTACAAACATTTTGTGTTTCACTTATATTAAGGTGTTTACGGAATAAAACAATATAGTACACATTTACATTTTATATGTAGCACCTTTTACATCGGGCGGACATTCCCAAAGCACCAAACCATCTTAACAGGACAGTGTACCCAAACTCTAGGGGTGGGGGGAGAAGATGGCCCAAGTGGAGTTCTGTAGCTCAGTGGTTAGAGCACTCACTTTGCAAGTGAGAGACCTGAGTTCAATTCCAGGCAGAGGGCGAAACCTTGGGCAAGTTTCCTTACTCCACACAGAGCCTAATAATAATCCCTCCAAAACAAAACAATAATAAATTGGTCATTTTCAATCCACGACTGTTTGTGGGACATTGCTGTGCGCAATTGGCTGCCGCGTTCGCCCACAAATATACAGTCAATTCACTTTACAGTATATTCTGTGAAGCGCTTTGGGACGTCCTCCCGACGTGAAAAGCGCTATATCAAATGCAAGGATTAAATTAAAGAGGAAGGCCTTGAGACGAGGGAAGGGTGAATCGAAAGGACTCTTGAGTCTTTTCTAAAGGGAAATTTGCCAGTGCAATAGTGTAATGTACAGCCTGCATGGTATAAATTCTGTGGCTTTATTGTGCGAGCAAAGGACATAAATTCAGCCATGAGCAAGTTTTATATGTACTTGATGTGTTTGCAGCAGAATCTTGTAATTTTTGACCTTTTAACTAGAAATGTGTTTCTTGCAAACGTAAGGTACCAAAAATGTTAGGGGATCGACTCTCCAGTGGGCTACAAACACCATAGAATTGATGCTTAACCAAACAGACTGGAAGAGCTCTGGTATGATCTCACCTGACACAATTTCTAAAACCGAGTTGAATAATTTGGTCTCAGCTTGAATGCAAGTGAATGCCACTAATGGTCTTGCTGCACCACTAGTCCAGGAAAAAATGAAAATCAATCAGGGTTTCCTATTCTTTGTCACTATCCAATAACCCCCACATTTACAAACTAAAGGCAACTTCAGATTTGACTGATACCCTTCATAGGCAATTACCCTGATCATACTCATTGCCTAGATTCATACAGAAAGTTCAGTTGGGCAAGGTACCAGAGCCTTTGCTTTGTGGAACTGATCCCAGTTAGAGTTAGCATCTTCAAGGTAGGAAGAGGAGGAATTAACCTGATCTGTACAATTTATGTTTCTCCTTCATTTAACCTGTAGTAGATCTAGAGGAAAGCAGTTGTGGGTACAAGCTTTACAATACAAAATTACATTTGTATAGTGTCTTTCATGTCGGGAGGACATCCCAAGGCGCTGGACGGTCAGGGTTTTGGACCTGAGCTGGGGGTCAGGATTGTGAAGGGTAGGAAGATGGACAACAACAACAAGATTACATTTATATAGTGCCGTTCATGTCGGGAGGATGTCCCAAGGCACCAAAGGCGCGGTGGAAGCGGAGGATTTTGAGACGCGCCTTGAAGGAGGCAAGGGAGGGAGTGAGGCAAAGGGAATGTAAGATGGAGTTCCAAAGTGTGGGGGGAGAAAGGCAGAAGATCCAACTGCTGATGGTGGGGCGGGCCAGGCAGGGGACGTCGAGCAGGCCATAGCCTACTGAGTGGAGGGCACAGACAGGTTAATATGGGGTCAGCAGGTCGCAGAGATAGGAAGGAGCAAGGCCATGGAGAGCCTTGAAGGTGAGGATGAGGAGGGAGTTGGTATAGAATTTAAATTCCTTACAACAAAGCATTCTCATATTCTGTTATCTATACTCATTTAACAGACTGTACAATCATTCGTTCATTGCCTACTTTTTTTTCAAAGTCTGGCTTGAAATACAAATTGATGTACCCATTTTTAAAAAGACCTTTATATATTCCCGACATGATAGGCGCTATACAAATGTAGTCTTGTTGTTGTACTCTGAAAGTTAGCCTGAAATAGGGTGCAATTATAGAGATCAAGTAATAAATGATCTTTGTCTGTGTACTTTGTATACAAAGATCTTTTTAAAAATGGGCCCAGTGCTTGTCTGTCTGTTATTTAGTTATGCCCTCTCTTTTTCATGATCTGAAAGTTGAGGATAGGATCATGAGTATATCCTGCCCTCATAAACAGTGAAGCTTATTGCAGCATCACTGCAAACAGGTTTGTTTAACCCTATTGTGGGTTCCCACGTGATTGGGGAAGTATCCATCAGAGGCTAGGCCTCTCCCCCAGTGGTATAGGACGAGGGAAAATTTGCGTGAGTGTGGCCTTAGGTTGCACCCCTGGAGTTACAGTGCGATTAGTAGAGAACAAAAAGTTCAGCTGTATGGGTCGCATAATCAGGGAACTAGAAGTAAAAAAAACCCTCTCAACAAAAGAAACTGTTGGTCCAAGTATTTGATAATGTATGTTTTCTGTGAACACTCTTCCAGCCGGTGGTACAGCCAGCAAGTCAATTATTAATTCCAAGAACAGTTTTGGATGGTCTCATTGTATTATTGTCAAAATACCTAAGATTTATGATCTTCTGCAGTGAACTGAAGCAATGTTCAAAGAAAATCCAAAGAGAGAGAATACCATTGCTGTTTTGATAAAGTGAAATTTGGAAGTTCCCAGCTTTGCTCCTGTAATGGAGTGCCTTACAATAAATTGTATCATAGAGGGAAGGAAGCAGTTTGGCATTATCTGGCTCATCCAGTTTGAATTATCTCCTTTTAGTTGATCGGAGTGGCATTGCAAACAGAAGTGAAGTCTTCTATGCTCCAGGCAGCCTCATCGTTGTGGCTGAAAGTATCACATGAGGCAAGTTATAGGAGTGACTTAGATAGGAAGCAACACCTGTTTTAGTTGTAAGAATAGTGAAGCATTTTATTTTATTGAGGCCACTGTCTTGAAGAAGAAATGTTTTCCAAACCAAGTTTAATTTATAGAGGAACCTATTTCAGCATAGTAGGTTGCCTTAACACATTGGTACACAATTGCTGTAGTTTAAGTTGCTAAACTGTTTAGCAATATTTTTCTCACCGATCCCCTGAAATTCCAACATTCTTCAAATAAAACGTAGTCATTCATTTCATGGCTGCTGTAGGATATCATTGTGTGTTCACATACAAAATACACAGTCACTACGCTCTACAGAAAATCCTTTGAAGTGCTGAGACATTTTGCCAATACGATACCACTTAGCCTATCCATGTCCCTTTTTCAACTTGCATGTGATCGTGATCATCTATGCTGTGATGCTGTCCTGTGGTAAATCACCCCAAATGGCAAAGTATGGAGGCAACAGAAGGAACTAACCCTAATAAAAAGCAAAACAAAATTAAATCGGGTATTTTGTATTGCAATTTAAAAATGTCAAGAAGCTGTGATTGTATTAGGCAGTAAAGTGTAACATCACCTCCTACCTAAAATAGATTAAAAGCATGAAAGATCTTTGAATTTCTTGAAAAGAATAAACTCTGGAGTGAGCTCTGAGGCAGTAACACATTTTCATGGTAGACATGATGATAACCTGCTCTAGCTTGGTATGGCTGTAGTCACCACTCCAAACTTTGTTCTCTAGACAGTATTACATCAGAATTCCGTTGTGTTACAAGATTATATTGCAAAAAGTCAGGAATGTGTGTAAAGCTGTAATGTGCTTGCAGTTTAACTCAGTGCTGCATTACAGCTATTCAGTGGGTCTTGGCAACACTTTCACTACATTATAGATTGCTGCATGTTTTATATTAAATTTATATAACAAATGTGGTCATGCCCACTTATATGCAACTACTGTTCGACCAATAGATTACCAGTCAAGTTAGCACAAGTCAATTTCTCGCCGCTGTTCTATATAGAAAACGTTCATGTCTGCAAGTATGCTGAAACTGACTCCCGTTTCCTACCCCACATGTTTTGGACCTGTGCTTTCGTAACTGCTCAGCTGTTAGTTTTTTTTACTAGCAACCAACACTTCTCCATCTTGCTTCCTAGTGGAGATAGCAAGGCCTCACTAGTGTGAGCAAGAACCCTTAATACTGTGGTCCCTAGACAGTTAATGGTACTCACTCTATGGAACCTGGGATGGTGCTACCTATTTTCATTCTTGCCCTATGTTGTCAGACAAGAGAAAAATTGAAAAGAGAGTTTCAACCCTGCCATCAGCAGAGAGGATGGACTAGAAAGCCTGAGAGTGAAGTAATTAAAACTTTTCTCCTGCTTGTATTGTACAAAAAAAACTTGGCAAATTAATTACACTTGCATAAAAGTGGGTCTGATTGCACGTTCAGGCAATTTCTCATTAAAACCCAAGTGAGATGTAGTTTTGTTTGATTTTCTGTTTTCTCTTCACAAGTACTGTAGTGCGCTTGAGTTGCTGGAAGCGCAGTCAGAGCTTGCAAACTTGACTATGGCACATACCGATGTGAGTACCAGTAGCTTATGGATGCCTGCAGTATTGTATGCAACATTTTTAAGGATGGATAAATAGGTCTGTTTTAGGCATTGTACTTTGTTTAGCACCATATTTGTTGGGCAGCCTATTGCATTTAAAACCTTGTGCACACAGTTTTCCTGTATGGTTCCTCAAGTGAATGCGCCACGCAGACCAGGAATATCACAGGACAGATTCCTGTTCTGTGTTAGCTAGCAATAGCTGGTGCTATGGTCATGGTATACTTGTGCCTTTGGCCTGGATATGGTAACATTCAGCAAGGATTTCTGCTCTTGATAATTATCCAGTGACTACCTGATGGAAAGACCATGTTTATGGATATTGCATGAGGACAGGGTTGTACTCTGCTAGAATGGCCTCCACAGTCAAATGCCCTGCTCAGACTCAATGTCGAGACTTGCACTTGAAGAATAATCACTTAGGTGAGGTACCAGAGGGCTGAGACTTTGCTCACTTTCAGTGGGGTGCTGGATTTACGTTTACAGTAGATAGCTTAGCATGTGCGTGCCTAAACTCGTGCAGAGCTCTACTAATTGGTCTCAGATTTTTTTTTTAACAATGCTATCGGGACTGATACGGTTTGCCTCCTGTATTTATAGTTGGTCTCAACAGCTAGATTCCACCAGATATATAATAATGAATAATCCTTTCACAGCGCTTTATCATGTAATTGAGATGTCTCAAAGCTCTTCAAAGAATATATTGTGAAGTGAATTGACTGTATATTTTGTGAGACAATCCCGGCAGCCAATTGCACACAGCAGTGTCCCACAAACAGTCGAGGATTGAGTGACTTTTTTTTCTTTTGAAGGAATTATTACCCCCGGGTTCCTACTTACTGCTAAACAAAGGTGTGTGGAGTAAGGAAACTTGCCAAAGGTTTCGCCCTGCCTGGGAATCAAACCTGGGTCCTCTCGCTTGCGAGGCGAATGCTTTAATCAATATGCTACAGGACTCCATGTTTTTAACAGCAAATATAAAGATGCAGCATAAACTGGTCATTTGATTGATATTTACTCTGATCTGAAACCACTGGTGATACAAACTGTTCAGTACCAAAGGATCCCTTCCTGTCGACAGTGAGTGACTCATGTTGATACACAATTTCACAGGTGCTGGTAATGATTACAACTATTTCCAAGGTACCATCCTGCATGTGTGAGTCTAAGCAGTGAGTTGTCTCGCCTGATCATGTCCTGAATTTGTCTTCGTACTCGTGCTTCTTAGGTCACTGGATGGTTGTTTTCATTTCTTCCTTTCTCGATTGAGAATATTGAGGCTAGTTGCTTATTCACAGCACAACATCGGCTCTGAGATCAGCAGATACCAACGATTTGATTGTTAAACTATGCAGCTCAATATCACCATGCAGTACGTCACTGATAAAAAATATTCAAGAATAATTAGATTTTTTTTTCTCCCCTCTGGAAATGGAATAAGAGAATAACTGTGTAAAATAACTTGGTCTTGGTAGAAGATAGGATGTTTTACTTATTCCATCGTGGGTTTATAAGTACAGTAGTAGTAGTAAAGGTCCACTGACCACCTTTAATTCTGGGTCTGTTACTGATAACGTACCAGGCATAGTTCATGTCTCAGATCCAAGAGAATGATATAATTTGGTCAGCTGGATGTCTCACACATGAGGAAACTCATGCTCAGGAGTATCCAAACCACACAAAGTTCCACAGATTTATGCTACCTACATATGGGAATTTCCATGTGTCTGGAATGGAATGCGCACCCTCCCTGGAGGAATCCATCCTGCTTACCTAATTCCAGGGAGTATTAGACACAGGTTGGCAAGAGCCAAGGTTTGGGGATCTCAGAGTGTCTGTTGGGGTACTGCTGGTGTTTAACCAGCTAAAACCAGCTTGCCATTGAGAGCACATTGGCAACTTTCTCACGACTTGTCTAGTTAGGACCATCCTTCCCGATTTTGCTTTCAAGGTTAGCAGGAGCTGAATAGGAAGAATCTCTGCCCACAGTAGGGAGAAGGAAGAATGACTAAAGGTGAATGTTAACTAATTATAAACTCACTTTTGTTCGTATCATATGATTTGATCAAGGGGGCATGGGGTTCGTTATCTGCTGCTACTTTTGCCGCTGGAAAAATAAAACTTCACACATTGCAAAGATAAATAGATCTGGATGTGGGTGATCAACATTTTCACAAACATACTCCCCTTGAATGCTTAATAGATGTTAATATTTACTGACTGCTGCTATTCATTAATTTTGTTGGATTCCTGGGCCTCTCATGGTCTTAATAATACATTTTATTTATTTCAGGCTTCCAGAGTACTTGCAGGTTCCCGCACATATGCAGACTTTGCATCTGAAGCAACATTCGATATTAAGGTGATGTATTTTTGTGAGTTTTTTTAAAAACTTTCAAAGATTATTTATAGATCTATGCCAAGGGAAGCTTAAAATTTCCTTATTTGATTGTTTGATTAAAGCAGTAGAGAAGAGGAAACAAGCATATCTCCCAAGTCTACAAATATATTCATGTGCACTTACAATACAATGCAACTTTAAATATATATAAAGCCCTTCACGTTGAGAAGACATTGCAAGGTGCTTAACAGTTCTGGCTTTGCACCCGAGCTGGTGTGGAGGGAGAAACAGCTCAGTCCCAGAGGTATGTCTTGAGACGGTCCTTAAACAAGATGAGAGGAAGAGTGTGTGAGGGACTCTTGGATGGCATTCCACAGAGTGGGGGGGGAGTTCATTTGGTTTCCAATGGAGAAACCTTTAAAAGATTCTTGCTACAACTATGTGTTTTGGTTTCCAAGCCTATCCTTGAGGACCACTATCGGTCATTTGTTTCCATTTTTGGTGGTAGATAGGTGGTAGGTAGGTTGTTGTTTTCTGGCTAGCCAGTAGCACTATGAGTAAATCCACTACATGGTATACAACAACAACAACAACAAAATTACATTTGTGTAGTGCCTTTCACGTAGGGAGGACGTCCCAAGGCGGGACAGGCAGAATTTTGGACTCAAGCTGGGAATCAGGGATCGGGGAGGGTGGAGGGCAGAGGGGGAATTTTTGGGACCATATCCAAACATTCTCATTGATTTTTAAATACAGAAATGTGACTTGCATCGTCTTGAAGAAGGTCCTCCAGTTTCAGCGGTCCTGACACGAGAGGATGGGCTTAAATACTATCGGATGGTGCATCTGATTCGACGCATGGAGCTCAAGGCAGATCAGCTGTACAAGCAGAAGATCATCCGTGGTTTCTGCCATTTGTGTGATGGACAGGTACGTGGGCTGATCCTGTCAACAACAACAACAAAAAGATTCCATTTATAGAGCGCCTTTCACGTCGGGAGGACGTCCCAAGGCGCTGTCGAGAGAAATCTCAGTGCTAAACGTTTTTAAAAGACATCTAGTCTCATTTAATAGAATCTCATAAATTAAATAAAAATATTGCCTAGGAGCGGTTGTCAAAATTCTGTAATATCCTTTGAGTTCAGCATGTTGAAGTGGAAATGTGGAGCCAGGTGTGTGTTCTTTGTTTAAATAATTTGTGTGTGTGTATGTGTGTTGAAATAATTTGTGAATTCCTATAGCATAATAGTTAGAGCACTTGCCTCGCGAGTGAGAGGACCTGGGTTCGATTCCCAAGCAGGGCGAAACCTTAAGCAAGTTTACTTACTCCACCCGCGTCTTGTGTGCTTAGCAGTAAGTAGGAACCCGGTTGTTAGTTGATTGGAGTATCACTTTTCAAGGGATAATAATCCTTTCAAAAATATAATAATAATGTGGGCATTCAATCCACGACTGTTTATGGGACACTGCTGTGCACAATTGGCTGCCCTGTTTTGCTCACTAAATATAGTCAATTCACTTCACAGCATTTTCCATGAAGCGCTTTCAGACGTCTCAAAGATGTGAAAAGGCGCTATATCAAATGCAAGGATTATTATTAATGTAAACATTTCAAAAATATAGGTGGATGGCAATCAATTGAAGATAAGTGTTCCTTGGCTGCTCATAATTTTGGCACTTGCACAGTGTGTGTGGCATTGAACTAACAATTGTAACTAGGTCCAAATTAGGTCCCTGCCCCCTCATGGAAAATAAGTAAACCCATTTTTTCCCTCCTTTTTTTAACTGTCCGAATGATGTGAAATAACAAGCAAAGGAGTACTTTTTGTTTAAACACTCCCTCTAGAAAGCAACATTTCTCCTACAACACCAGCCTACTCGGGTGATATATTACTAGAAGAGCCAAAGCAGCACCATTGAGCTTGGCAAGGTTTTGGGAGCTTGCTCAAGCTTGGGAGAGTTTAGTGTCTTTTTATCAGAACTGCAAATTGTTTGAACCATTAACCAGTAAGAGTCTGATCAACTAACTGTGCATTTCCTGTTTTTATTTAAGATCCCCAGCTTTCTGATTTTTATTTGTATCGCAATCTCAATAGTTTTGGAGGTCCAGTGTATCCAGGTTTCCTGTGGGGTACATCACTTAGATACTGATGCATCTTGACCTTCTTGCATCAATACCCAAGTGGTGTACTCCACAGGAAACCTGGATACATTCTATGAACACAGAGTCCATGTAATGTATTGAAGGAATCTAATGTTCATGGCATTAACCCCTAAATATAAATGTGTTGCAATTCTTGTTTCAGGAAGCTTGCTGTGTTGGAATTGAAAGTGCAATCAATTCAACAGACCATCTTATAACAGCATATCGTGCTCATGGCTACTCCTATACCCGTGGCGTGCCCATCAAAGAAATCATGGCTGAGCTTACTGGTATGCAAATTGGGCCTCCACTTAAGAATTTATTATTTTTCTAGCAGTTTACTGGAAAGACTACTTATCAGTGTTGCGCAACATCTCGTGTTTGACCAAATTTGTGTCTTGGGTTTTGAAAATTGATGTGCTTCAGATTTCTGCCATTGCTTGTGAAAGCTATAGTGATGTATGTTTCTCTCAACAGGCAGACGTGGTGGCTGTGCTAAAGGCAAAGGGGGCTCCATGCATATGTACTTCAAAAACTTCTATGGTGGCAATGGCATTGTTGGTGCACAGGTAAGGGTGGATCTGCAGCCTCATAGAAATCTTTGTTATACAGTGTAAAATAGATTGGAGTTCTGTAGTTTAGTGGTTAGAGCACTTGCCTCACAAGCGAGAGGACCTGGGTTCAATTCCCAAGCAGGGCGAAACATTGTGCAAGTTTCCTTATTTAACACGCCTCTGTTTATCTAGCAGTAAATAGGAACCTAGTTGTTAGTCGATTGGCGGATCACTGTTCCAGGGGTAATAATCCCTTCAAAATAATATAAAATTGGTCACTCAATCCACGAATATTTATGGAACACAGCTGTGTGCAATTGGCTGCTGTGTTTCTCCCACAAAATATAGTCGATTCACTTTACAGTACATTCTGTGAAGCGCTTTGAGACGTCACGAAGATGTGATAAGGAGCTATATTGTAATAATAATAATAATAATAATCCTTGCATTTGATATAGCGCTTTTCACGTCAGGAGGACGTCCCAAAGCGCTTCACAGAACACACTGTAAAGTGAATTGACTGTATATTTGTGGGCGAACGCGGCAGCCAATTGCGCACAGCAATGTCCCACAAACAGTCGTAGATTGAAAATGACCAATTGTAATACTATTATGCAACATACTAACATTATTATGTAACTTTTATATGTTGAGTAATGGGTCAACTTGTTACAATGCCAAATTGCAAATGTCGACTCCTTCCATTACATGTACCTCATGTCAATCTATGGTACTTTACTCTGACACGATCTGCTTCCACAGTGGAGTTCCCATTGGGCAACATGGTGTACTCATGTTTAGTATTATTATTATTACTCCTGATTACAGGAAGGAGTTGCTATTTGAAATTCAGAAGTGTAAATTGTCTCAATCCCGCAGAAGGATGTATGAGTGTGTGTGTGTGTATATATATATATATATGTGTGTATATACACACACACATTGCATTTAAGACTTGTTAGCAGTGTTTGCAAGATGAGACTGTTTGCCGTAGCTCCTAAATCATTCTTATTGCTCTGAACTAGATTCCCCTTGGAGCAGGAATTGCATTAGCCTGCAAATATTTTGAGAAAAATGAGATTTGCGTGGCATTGTATGGTGATGGTGCAGCTAATCAGGTAAACCATGCTTTCTTCCTCTTCTGACTTGGATTTAAGAGAGAATTTGGGCAAGTCAACATTTAACACAAGACATATAACAAAAGTATCTGGAATACTTTATAATCTGAGTGGATCTGTCATTGTCAGTTTAGGAAACATGGATCATAACATTGAATATGCTGTTTTCCAATGATAGTCACACCCTAACGATTTCCAAATAACTGTTGACAAGTTGTTGTTGGACCTCTGCATTATAAGTACTGTAGTGATTATTTGTCCTTGCAGTAAAGCTGTTATTGTCTAATTCTCCACTTATAACAGCAAGTCCATAACAATGCTTTTAAACAGTGAGTTCCCTAGCTGGCGAGTTCCCGATTTCAAAAAATTGTCCAGGCAGCACTAAGCAGAATTTTCTAGTGATGGTTTGATTAGAAGTAGCATTGTTGAGTACAGCCTAAATCACTCAGCCTTGTCACTTGAGGTTGTTTTCCTGATATATTATGGGCACAGTTTGGAGGTTTGCAGAAGTAAGGTGAAAAATGTTTTAATAATGTTTAATATCTTAGCAAAATTTATTTTTCACTATTTAGGGTCAGATCTTTGAAACTTTCAACATGGCAATGCTATGGAAATTGCCCTGCATATTTGTTTGTGAGAATAACAGGTATGGGATGGGTACCTCTGTTGAACGAGCAGCAGCCAGCACAGATTACTACAAGAGGGGTGACTTCATTCCTGGAATTAGGGTAAGACATGGAGCTGACCAGTTTCAGAATCCTTTTTAAAGTTTCACTCTCAGGAATGGCCTATCATTACACTAACTGAGCAATGAAGTGCAGAACTTGCATCTATGATTTCCCACATGGTTAACCCTAGACAGCAGTTGTTCCCATCCTGGCCAGTTGTCAAGTGGTGAGCAAGTTCTTCTCTAAAAGTTCTACGTTCCAAAGATGAACCAAGCTTGGTGTCGCTTATCTATTTCTTCTTTATGTATCTTTTGTTTCTGCTGCTGTTTCGAAATGTAATGATGATCTCTTTGAACCATGGCCCTTAGTCTGGCTTCTCAATACAACCTGGTCAAGGAGGGAACTGTCACCACTGCTCCATTTCTAGATTGCTAGACTGAAACAAAGCTTGCTTATTCATAATTTTTTTTTAAAATGAAGGAACAGTGCATTGATACAATGTGTTGAAACTCTTAACATAGTACTGTAAAATATTAGGATATTTCCCCCCATATCAGGCTCCTACACTCATTGTGTACTTCAGAAGAAGTGGTGGACACTTTGCGACAAGTTAAAAATAAAATTCCTACAAAGTCCTTACTGGCCCCTTCCTACGTCAATAATTATAGACCAGCACTGCCAAGGTCTTAATGCAGGTTACTTGTCTATTCTCAGCCAAAGAGAAAGAACTGAAAAACTGGGAGAACGAATGGGGGGATAAAACCTTTTCAGTTGATCCTTTAGTGTTACTTGAGCAGTGATGAGTTGGACTATTATAGTATATATCATGAGTGCCATGTCTCATTTACAGGTTGATGGCATGGATTTGTTGTGTGTCAGAGAAGCAACAAAGTTCGCAGCAGATCACTGTAGGTCTGGAAAGGTAACTAGAAGTGTCTTTAGAGGAATATCAGAAGTTTTCCTGAATTTTATTGAATCGTTTTGGTTTTTCGGTAACAATAGCATTTTTGGTTCGGGGAAAGATATTTATGCCGATATTCTGAAGTGTTTCACGAACTTGATATTAATGTATGTGGCATGTTGATTGAAGATAGAAATTAAAGGATAGAAGGGCCATCAAACCTACACTGGTGCTTGTTCATCAACTGGAGGTAAACTAGTCTAATGCGAATTCCCTGCACTATCCCCATTCCCTTTTATATTTTCTTTTCACTAATATAGAAAGGTACAATATGAAGAGAATAATAGATATATGAGTTCCTATAACTATGCATGTAGATGTCTAAAATCTTCTATTTACAAACCAGAAATCACAGCCAATGTTTTGCTTTCAGTTCAGAACTTTTTTTCAACCAAGAAAAGGTTTTTTGTTAATCCCCAAAAAATCTTTTTTTTAAAAATCTCAGTGTGAGTTCAGATCCAGTTTTTTTTAATATAATTTAAAAAATTTAAGCTCTGGACTCTGCAACGTGGGCTTAAGTTTTGTTAAATTGTGTACTGGGATGTGAGGTCAAAAAGGTGCAGTTTATTCAATTTTAGGGAGTTTGCTGGTGTTGTGCTGTATTAGCAGAAATTAATGACCAATAGCGTCTTGAGAGCAACCACGCTGAATGATTATGATAACTAGGGAGTAAAACCATCTGTTTTATGTTAGTTATTTTTACAGTTCCAAATTACAATTGTTAGAAATTAAAGACCAGTTATGCATGCATCAGTGTTTTAAAAAAGAAGTCATAAATGCAAGAGAGGTGCAACATTGGTCTGACTGATTTTAGTGGTGAATAACTTGTAATTCAATCCTTTGCCATGAGCAGTGAATGAAAACATTTGTTGCAGGGCCCAATTCTGATGGAATTGCAGACCTATCGCTATCATGGACACAGTATGAGTGATCCTGGCATCAGGTAATGGATCTGTTAAACTTGGTACAAAGTGCTTGGCAATTGGAATAAATTCGACATTAATGTGGAATCTAACATTAACGTTCCATCTATAAATATGAATGGCTGGGGGTAAATTTGATGTATGTGTGTGACGCTAAATTCTCTTGGGAGAGGGGGAAAGAAGGTAAGCTAATTGGGCTTAGTCTACTTGCTTTATTGAGGCAAAAACATCTTGCGTTTGGTGACATTTGAAAAGAATGTTTCTGATTTGTATTTTGATGTGTGCAGTTATCGTACCAGAGATGAAATCCAGGAAGTAAGGAGCAAGAGTGACCCTATTTCCATGTTAAAGGAAAGGATGCTGAGCCAAAACCTGACCAATGTAGAGGAGTTGAAGGTATGTGATTGCTGGTATTTTGCCTCCCAAGCTTGAAGCTTTAGTGATGTGTACAGTTCCTGGTCAGCATAGATTTATAGAACAAACGCAGCCAGCAAGGATTGAAATAGGGAGGTGGTTGGTTGGCCCATTGGCTTCTACACTGTAGCCCCAAAAAGTTCCCTGGGTGCCTGTCTGGACAAAATTGACTGGATGCACATAGGAATTTCTTGGATTTTAAATTTGGAAAGCCTATTTTGTAGCATTTGTAGCAATCTGAGAATGCCACTGAGGCTATTTGCCCACCCTGTACCAAGGGAAGGGGATACATTTTAAAACAATATTATGTATTCATCATGTTTCTAAATTTCCAGTCCCTCGTTAACATGACAATTTTGTTTCCCACCTGACCTCTGTAACCTCCTGCCGCCGAACTGCCCCAACTTTCCCACCATTCATCAAATAATGGCCTGCTTCATTCTCCCATCCCTCAATGTATACCTATATATGTATCTAAATAGGAGTAAACTGTAGGGTTATAGGGAAAAGGGAGGGAGATGGGATTGAAAAGAACATCAGTGGGTGAATTTTCAGCCATTCTGCCCCCAATTTCTGGAGCTCCACAATGGAGTCCTATGCCTTGCGCCCCCCCCTACCCCATCTTAAGATTCGAGCTATCCCTTTGACTATGCTTTCAGCCACATTCTGCCCTTGAACATCTTAGGTTGACTTAATGGCTAAAAGCTCAAACACTGATGTTTTGAAGAGCATCCTTTCAGTTTGGTCTCCCTGATGTGAAAGGCATTATGTAAATATAACTTGTTGTTTTTAGGAAATTGATGCCAGTGTGAGGAAGGAGGTAGAAGAAGCAGCACAGTTTGCCACCACAGACCCTGAACCAGTCCTGGATGAACTAGCTAGCTATATTTATTGTAAAGAAACTCCATTTGATGTGCGTGGCACTAACCCATGGATAAAGCACAAATCAGTTGGCTAGAAGAAAGCACTTAATTCGATGCACCACAGCTTATATATGCAACATGCACATTGTAACATAGGATTGAAGACCGACATAAAATCTGGTTTGCAAGAGATCAGACATGAGCTATAAGCTAAACTGCATATTAAACAAAATTAAGTTGACTTCTTTGAGTTTTGTCTTTTGTATATGTACATATGCAGTTTTATTAACCATAAATGACCATTTATATCAGAGAAATGTCTATTTAATATCTACCATATTGTACTTGTTCCAGTTTGTTTGAACCTGAAGGTGTTTTGTAAACTGGGGCTGTTTATGGCTGCAAGTCCATGCCAATACAATAAACGTGTTCTCTCAAAACTGGATGTTGATGGTGTTGCATAAAAATCGGAATTAGTCTTTTTCAGTGTTGATCTAATAGGTACACAATGGGTTAAACTTTGTACTTTCTGGTCATTAAACAGTTAGTACAAACTAAGAGGCTCCTGTTTCCTAAGTGCCCTTAGCATTCACAAACCATTGATTCTCACTGGAGGAGGAATGGGTTGCTGTTTATCCAGCATGGAAAAGTCTCATCACTGTACACAATCATTTCATCTCGTGGATTAATAAATGCATCAGGTTTTCAGCACTGATTATTAAAAAAGGAGTGGGATGAATATTATTATTAAGAAGATGTAGGATGTCTGAGAAATACAGTAGAAACCCGGTTTGCAGTCACCTCGGTAATCCAGTTACCTCACAATTGTAGGCACATTTTCAGTCGCTTTCATTGTCTATGTTAAAAGATAGGCTGTCTGCTTAAGTAAAACAGGCACCTCACTATTCAGGACAACGGTCATTGATTGTGGATGCTACAGCGCATTCCTCCGGTACAAGCGTGGTACAAGCACCCCCTCCGCTACTAACCTGTACACAGTGCACTCGGCCTCGGGCTTCTCGCTCTGTTTCCTCAAAGCTGCTGCAATGGCCAGAGTGGGCTCCGGTTGCGGATGCGCAGTGCGGGGAGTGTTGGGATTGCAGAAGTGGCTCGAATGAGATATTGACTTCACCCAGCGCCCGCGGCCTCACCTGAGCTCCTGAAGCCAATTCTTGGTAAGTGCTGTATTTAGAGCACATGGTTTGTGTGTACACTGTTTTGATTTAGTGACTGTTGACAAGTGCTGTAAACGTGCCACCACGGAGGGAGTTGTCCTTACATGAGACAATGGACTTAATCAAAACCAATAAAGGCAAAAGTCGTAAACAGTTAGCTGTGATCTATGGCATTGGCAGAACACAAGTTGGATGCGTTCTCAAAGGGTAGGCTGAATACATGGCGGCTTTTGTTTTAAATGTGGAGTCCTGGAGCTCAGTGGTTAGAGCACTCGCCTTGCAAGCGAGACACCTGGGTTCAATTCCAGGCAGGGCGAAAACCTTGGCCAAGTTTCCTTACTCCCCACACCTAATAATAGTCCCTCATAAACAAAAGCAATAATAAAATTGGTCATTTTCAATCCATAACTGTTTCTGGGACACTGCTGTGTGCAATTGGCTGCCGCGTTTCACCCACAAATATACGGTCAATTCACTTTACGGACTATTCTGTGAAGCGCTATATCAAATGCAAGGATTATTATATTATAAATGTGACAATGCTTTTATTTTAATGAGATTGCAAAGTATGGTTGTTGAATGTTCATCACCCACGCCCATTACCAATGGCCTTAACATTACATCAGTCACCTGAATTCCCTGACCCGTTTCAATACTCAGGTCAACTCACTAAGTAGGTCACTTTTGTCCAGTCACTTGAGTGACCGGATTAGTGAGGTTCTATTGTACAGTAGAATAATACTTACACCCATTGTCTGGTTAAATAAAACATTCACATCTCCAGGTTCTGAGAACAGTGCCCCAACACACACACACCATCCCCCACCCCACTCCTGTTCATTAGTATGTTTTATGCTTGGAAGTACTGGTGATGTATTTAATCTATAAAATGCTGCACATAGAGGACTATTTTAATCAACCCTGTTTTGCATTGACTTGACATTGATGTTGAACTGACACAGGGCATTTCTTTACTGGACACCCTTTTAAAGAAATAAATTGTAACAATAGTTTGAGCTCAACCACAAGCCTTTGAATTTAATATGGACAAAATACGTTACAATGCGAATATGACAAACATCAATGGCTTGCATCCATTTACAAAGATGGACAGCAAATATTTTCTAATAGATGGCTTTTCCTTCATCAGGCTCCACTGTCTTTCCTGTCTCCCAATGGATTAACGTTAAGGTCCTCCCTCATCAGGCTCCAGCATCTCCCTGTCTCTGTCATTTCTCCCACCTGACTCTTCTCACACTTCAGCTCATCTAAGGTGGACCTGCTTCGTGTCCCATGTCTCCTCTACCAATATCGGTGGCTGAGCCATCACCAACTTTGCCCCTAACCTCTGGAATCCATACCCCATCATTTCACTCCTTCCTTTAATTCCTACCTAAAAAAACTAATTTTTGAACCATGCCTACTGGCTCAGTTGGTACCACTTTTGGCTTGTAAGTTGTGGGTTCAAGCACCAAGTCAAAGCTTTGAGGTCACAGTCCAGGCTGACACTCCCATCCAGTCCTGAGGGTTTGTTGCATTGCTGGAGGTACTGTTCTTCAGCTGAGACATTAAAACAAGTTTGTCAGACTGTTCAGGTGGATATCAAAGATCCATGACTACTTGAAAAGAGAAGTTTCTCCCAATTTCCTACTCAACAATCCTCCACATAAAAATTTTCATCCACTTCATGGCTGTCAGTGGGTCAGCGCTAATTGGCTGCTGCATTTACCTTCCAAATGGACTGTCGCCACACTACAATGCAATGCTGTGAGATGTTTCAATGACTTGAAAAGATACTATATAAAATATAAGGATTATTTATATTACACTCACTACCTCCTCATCCCTCACTTGGGTTCCGACTCTTCCTTTGTCAAGGGCTCCAAGCGGTTATCCTATGTGAAGGACACAATATAAATTCAAGTACTAAAATGTTGCAAGAATTCTCTATGAATAGAAATGTAAAAAGGTGAACCACTTGCAGGAAAGTTAGTTGCAGTTTTGTGACTGAGCTATTTGACTACAGAGCACCCTGGTCACCTACCTTCATATCCATCTTAAGTAATTTAAAAGTGTTTTGTGAAAGTTTTGAAGTATAAAAGGCTCTTTGGGAGTGTGTTATTTGTTATTTCTAATTTAAGTCTAAATTACAGTTAAATTTCAGTCATTCCAGGAAGAAAATAAACTATCTAGGGGTTGTTCTTCACATCTTGAGGTTTGGTGTACTTGGCCCATCCCTAATCCTTCACACATCCTCTGAGGAGTTTATGCAGGCCCCCACTGTTACCTTTTCCATTGAATGCCCACAGTGTACATGACCTATAAGTGCTTGATACAAATCAATGTCTGTGCAAAAGGGCAAACTCAATACATTTGTAGTCACACATTACAATAAATTAAGGGCTTTGGTCTTCAAATAAAATATTCTCTGGAACACGGACAGCATGTGTTAATGCACCTAATCTTCCACTTTGGGTGTTTTCCTGAACTTTAATACAGCATTCCAGATTCGGCAAAGAATCCCACCTCTGAAACACAGGCAAATAAATGCGTTAGTCTTCAGGGCACTACTCTGAACGGGAGATTTTTTAAAAAAAACAGATAAATTTAAATATTCTTACAATAATTCATTTTCACCTTTTGGTTACTTATTTATTCACTTGTTTGAAATTCTTAAGTTTGCTGACAGAGAAGGTAGGCAGCGGCTTTTAACAAGTCCTGCTGTAGTCTCAAGTTCACCGTCAGGACTTTGAGAGCAAAACTGAATAAATCCCCCCTCTGAACTCCCAGCCCTCATTGTGTAAATTCATTGCCTTCACTCAATGCCTCTGGCTAAGAATGAGAAATTCACCATGTGACCAGCAATGACAGGATGAATAATATTTGTGTAAAAATACATTGCACCAGCAGGTGACACTTGTGCCTCCAATAACATAATAAATAAAATACTCCTTGCATCTGATAAAACACCTTTCACATCAGGGGAATGTTTTAAAGTCCTCAGGATTTATTGTACATTGTAGTAACTATACTTTGTAGGCAAACAGAAGAGAAGTTCAGATTTCTACACTGTAAAAAACACAGCTGGAGGGCAATCTTTAGTAGAATTGAATGCTATTTTATAGGAGCCACCATGATGCACTAAACCTCATAGATGGAGAATGCACTTTGATTTTGTTGCCACTCTCATGTGACTAAGTGAGCAGAAAACACAAAAGAGTGGCACGTGCCTGTCAGTACTTAGAGAGAAAAGGATCTATCTTTAACCTTGTGTGACTGTCAGACAAGGTTAAAGGAGCTGTCAAAAAAATGTTGCTGTTCTCCACCCCCACATTAGAACTGATGCTCTCTCTCTCTCTAATCATGAACTGAATTTTAAATTAGATTATGAGAGCTGAATAAGCACTTAGAAATGAAATGGCATCTTTACCACACTCAAACACTGTTCTCAAGATATCAGATCTCGGGTTTATGGTAGGCATTCAGTCAGCTTCAGATCTTTTGACCTACGTGCATGAAAGCAGCTGCAGTAAAGTCAGGAATATTCCAAGCAGCATGTGAATGGACATTTATAGTTCAGCAGCACGTGAGTGGACATTTATAGTTCCTTCTTTGTTCCGTTATCCCTCTCTCCTTGTAGAAGATTTTTGTGACTTGTGAGTGAGTTGCACACTCCTTAGTGCCTCAGACTAGATAGCAGTCCTATCACTCAATAGCGCTGCTCTACAATCAATTTATTTGCCTACAAACAAGCAGTTACTTCACATAACTACAATTACCTGTGAAGCACTTTGTGAGTCGTTTTGGCATTTGAGTGGTTATTATAATATTTTATTCACAATCTTAAAATACTCTGTTTTAACCATTTTCTCCCTCTACACCTTCAGATCAGGAGCATCTAGAGCAATAATACATTTCCTGCACATGTGTACTTATCAGCAAGTGTTGGAATCGCATTGAATTCGGGAAATGAAGTTCTTCAGTGCATGCGTTGACGGATCATGACTACGTTTCCCGCAAATCATTGCACCTGGCCAACAAATGTACGTGCATCGATAGGTAGATACATTTCCCGCAATTCAATGCAGCCAGTAAGTGCAGGCGTAATGGAGGGTAGGGGAGTGGCTTCACAAGCTAGGAGATGATTAATACGAGTAGTGCAAAGAAAATGTGAGGGACCGGATGTGGGGGAGGAAGGATAATTGGGGGTTGAACCTGACGCCTAGGTCGGGTACAGGTTTGGAGAGTTTTAGGGGGAGGTCGGGTAGGTGGAGGAGGTGAGAACCGTGTGATTTTAGACGTTGACGAGAGCCAAAGAGTATGGCTTCAGTCTTGTCAACTCAGCTGAAGGAAATTCGCGCTCATCCAGCTCCTGAGATCTGACAGGCAGGCTGACAGAACATCAGGGGACTGGGAGTCGAAAAGTGAGGTGGAAAAATAGAGTTGGGTGTCGTCCGCATACATGTGGAAGTATACCCCATGTCTGCAGATGACATCCCCAAGAGGGAGCATATAGATCAGAAAGAGGAGGGGGCCAAGGATGGATCCTTGGGGTACCCCACAGTAACCGGGTGAGAGCGGGAGGAAAAGCCGTTGGTGCAGATGTACTGCTGGCGGTTTGTGAGGTAGGACTCGCAAAAGAGGCAGGGGTGCCAATTGCCTCCTCCAAAAGAGCAAAAAGACCGGAAAACAAAGCTTCATCTCTCCATGACCATTTCGCTCTCTGACCCTCCCTTTTGTCTGATGCTCTTTGGAAAGCAATGACCTCTCAAGCCACCACAGAGGTTTCCCACGCCTTTTACAAATATCTCAAATTAGATCCCAATATTAACCACTAAATCTATAGTAATAGTATTAACCTTCCACAAGTTGAGGACCGATGTTGGTGTACACATTAGCAACTGCTGCAATAGTAAAAGTGGAACAAACGCCCCCTGTATCAAATTTAAACAGCATATAAAGTATTGTATGCAATACCGGATACTCACACCTGTTTCCAAGTTTGTAATTTAATCTCAGTGTTCCAAGAACAGGTGTAAATTAATTGAGCTTCACTTCTCTTTGATGGAACATTATTTAAACTCTCGATTAATTTAGAGTCTTGTAATTGCTCTCAGGCACCTGCTGTTCTATTGTTATTCGGCGGCATTTATCAACGTTAAATTAACCAGAATACAAACAAACAGTGCTGTTTCTTAAAAAGCATTTAATGTGCAAGCTGGAATCCACATGAAAATGTCTCCACTGACACTTAATAACTTATAAATTACTAACACGAAACCTCCAATTCCTCACCAGTATAAAATTGGACATAGGAAAACAAGTTGCCCATTCGTCCTATTGAGCTTGAGTTTTGCAGATCATTGTAGATCTTTTACAACAACAACAAATTTCATTTATATAACTCCAATGATGGAAATGTGAAGCAGGCCAGTACCTACCGAGAGGAGGGAGCGGGTGGATTGTTAGAGTTTTTAGAAGGTCACAGAGATAGGTGGGGCAAGATGGGGAGATATTTAAAAGACCATGGAGGGTATTTAAAATTTAAATTTCACTTCCATTTTCTCAATTTACCTGAGTTGGAGTTGTCGCAGATCATCTTTTGTAATATGTTCAAGAATATCCATCAGTGAATAAGCTTCTGCATGAAACTGAAAAAGAAAAAGTCACTTAGAAACTGTCACAAACAGCTTGTACAAAGTAAGGAAGCAATAAGAATTGATTTACACTTGTGTGTAAGTGCCTTTCACATTGGAAGATAGGACATTGCAAGGCCTTGGAGACATTTGGAGGTGAGGACAGGATCTTAAAGTTAATCCATTGAACCGCAGAAATATATAGCACAGAAGAGAGCAATCCTATCCTTTTAAGAGCAATCCTATCAGTCCCATTTACCTGCCCTTTCCCTATACCCCTGCAGATTCCGATCCATTGGGGATAGGGAGCTAGTGAAACAAGGCAAGGATGAGGATGATGGGCTGACAGAGCCCAGTGTGACTTCTGTACCATCCCCTCAAGGTGTCCACCATATATGATTGGCTAAAAAAACCTATAAGAACATCTAGAAATAAGTTTGACGATCTTAGCAAGTCTGTCAACTTCCATTTCATTTCTTTATTCCTTCTTTTCTGAAGGTCTTGACTCTTAGTTGCTTTGTTCCATAAATGCCTGCCACCCTCCAGTAATTCACTCAAGTGGCCATTCAGCATGTGTGAGCCTGCACGATGATGTTAGCAGGCTGTTTAAATAGGAGGGGAGGAGGGATCACCACTAACGCCAGACCTATCCTTATCTGATATGTTTCTCATGATCTTAGCCTTCTTGAAATCAGTATTTTGACAGATCTTACCAGCATTCCAGGGGTCAAATCACCTCCACCGCCTTACCCTCTCTATCGTGACTGTGTCTGCTCCTTGTTCTCGCAGCCATTGAATGAGCTCCTGATCCTCTCTGTGGCAGGCAGCTAGCTGAGATCCCAAATGAGGCGAGACATCTGAAAGCAAAGAGAATCTACGATTTTCAGATTCCCTCCTGGCCATTTACTTTCCTTGAGTGATCTCACACTGCAATGTGTTGGGGCAGCCAAAGCTCTGGCTTTAAGTTTTGTATTGGCGGGGGATCTGTTTCAGCAAGCAGATCAAGTCAGCAAATGTACATCTTGTGTCATTAGCACATACAGACCTCCCATGCGAAAGACGCTTCTCATTCCTTTTATGAATATCTCAGATTATAGCAGGCAAGCACCCATTCGCAGTCTAAGCTCTGGGTTGTGGAGTTCTGTAGCTCAATTTTTAGAGCACTCGCCTCACAAGCGAGAGACCTGGATTTGATTCCTGACAGGGCGAAACGTGGGGCAAGTTTTCTTACTCCACACGCCTCTGTCTACCTAGCTGCAAGAAGGAACCTAGTTGTTACTCGATTGGTGGATCGCTTTTCCAGGGGTAATAATTCCCTCAAAAAAAGAATAATAGATTGGTCACTGAAATCCACGACTGTTTGTGGAACACGACTGTGCACAATTGACTGCCGCGTTTTACCCACAAAATATACAGTCAATTCATTTTACAGTATATTCTGTGAAGCACTTTGAGATGTCTCAAAGACGTGATAATGCGCTAAATGCAAGGATTATTATTACAATATTATTTTCTCATTTATGCAAGTCCATCATGAGTTCTGAGGGGTGGATAATATAAGATCTCATTGCGCATGTCCAGTTGCCCAAGTCAGTTATATTTGTTACCTAAAGCTTTGGATTTTAACTGCAGAAGATGTGATTCCCAGTCTCTCTGCTCAATTGCTTGTCGAAGGAGATTTTGACACTCGTTCTCCTTGTGGACCAGGTTTTCCAAAAGCCTAAAGAATCAGGGAGATCATGTCTTATTATTGGTCAGATAGGAAGTACTCCTTCACTTTACTACGTTGCATTCGCCCACAAAACACACAATCACTGCACTTTACAGCATATCCTATGAAGCGCTTTGGGACATACTCCTGATGTGAAAGGTGCTATAACAAATGTAAGGATATTATGATTATTGTCGCAGTTGAACAATGCCACTCTGTAACCAGTCAATAGGAGGCGCACAGGAGAAGCACGTCCCTGTGTGGGAAATTCCTGGCTCGCACTTCATGCCTTTTCTTATTAGAGTGACATCAGTACCTCAATGTGTGCAAAATCAAAAGTCAGTTTATTTCTTGGCACTCTCTGACAAAACAGTTTAATTAATATCTTGGTTCTGCCAAGTTATATCTTAATTCTTTGAATTTTTTATGACTAGAACGCATGTGGTTCTCTTGTTTTTCTCTGCTCCATCTTGACCTGAACCAGGAGCAAGAGTTCTCTCTATCGCCCGACAATCACTGAGCGAAGATTGTTGGTGGTGGAATAAGGGACTGAGCTTTCTGGCTTGAATGGGGATGGCTGGCTCAAGGTCTGATTACCTGTTCGTTTCCAGCTTAAGTCTCTCCAGCTGCACACTCAGTGGATGATGTAGATGTTGGACATTGAGAGGTGAGACTGGATTGAAGGTGCTTGTTCCAGAGACACTGATTGGTTTCTGGTGTAGTGGCTGCTCTCTCTGGTTGTCGACAGATGATAGCTCCTCCAGCTTGTCTGTGTCCACCCACTCACTCTCAGAAGCAGGGCCAAAGTCAAAGTGAGTACGCAATTCTGAATCAACAGCAAAAACAACAAGAGGTATGTAGTCTTTTCCTAACAAGCAATTTAATTTGAAATGTTATCTAAGAAACAAGGGTCAGCTCAGTTTCTTCTTAAAATGTAGTGGACTATTAGTAGATGAGCCTGTTAGATTTGTTTGGCCCAGCTATGAGATTATCACTGACTGACACTACTGATTAAAAACATTTTAATTTTACTCTATAAAAATGTAATGTAGAGCTAACCACCCTGATGATGTAAAGGTGGTTAAAGGCACTGCCTGATTCTGCACTAAGTCATATAATCCAAAAGATTATGGTCTGAATCCTGCTCTGCGCTGAGTTAACGGATCTCAAATTCAGCAGTTTGACCATTCAATGTGGATTTAGCACCTATCAGCTCAGAAGGGGAAAATTTACTGTGCAGAGACCCTGATGAAACGTATGTTGTGGACATTGTGGGTTGTGACAGGATCGGGCTTAGCTGCTATGCCTCCCCCGTGGTCAAATAGTCTGTCAACTCTCAGAAAAAATAAAGCAACTTGGGCAAATTACCAGTGCCCATTTGAATTGTAACCCAGCAAAGAGAACTTGGCAATTTCAACTCAAACTGTGACAATCAAGTTGACTTAAGCTCCATGTTTCCCAATATAATTTGCATCATTTTATTGTAAGAAACAAAAACTCTCAGACAAAATAGTTATGTTTGAGGCCTAAACTCTATGAGTTCAGCTATGTTGTTGAAGCCAACTCCACAATCGGTTGATAGTCCACCTCCCCACTCCCCCCAGGCTCGGAGTCAGTCTCCGCCACTGTTAAGCGCTCTGAGACGCTACCCTGCACGGAGGGCGCTATATAAGTGCAAACTGTTGTTGTTGTTGTACTCGTACCTGGAATGAGAATGGTGACTGCAACCTGCACTGCACGGCGGATAATATTGTCCATTGCAAACATCCAGTGGGGTTTGATGTGATGATTTCGCAAAACCTTATTAACCTAAGGTTTAAAAAAAAATACAAAATTTCTTGAGGTTTATAGGCCATCCTTCAAGAGAAAGAAACTAAAACCTACCATTAAATCTGCCACATCGACCTCTGAAACACAATGCTATTTACTAAATGCTTGTGTCGGCCAAGTGAAATCAGAATAGTTTAGTTTGGTCATACTTCCCAATAACGTAACCAATGATGGATGCTTGTGTACTTTGTGTTCTTAACTGAGGGTGTGGTAGAGAACCGAATGAGGAGATCAGAGCCAGCTTTTCTTAGTCCTTAGTACATCGACATTTGGAATCATTCACAGTTTGCTTCTCCTCACCAGTTTCCCTCATTTGGGCCATAACAAGCTGACCTTGACACCTAATTCTTCTCCATATTTTGCACAAAAATTTGCTCAGAAATGCATTGAGCAGTTGTTTATGTTTTCTACCAACCTCTATATGGTGAGCATCAAGACAATCTTCTGCTGGCTGTAGGTGCTAAAATTGTCATTTCATTTACAAGAATTAGTACTCATGTTCCTCCATTCTACTTACCGCATCCTGGAATCCAAATAATACCAGCTGAATCTGGTTTATTGAGATGCTATCAAAATCCAAGTCCAACTTGAGTTTGGAGAGAGTTGTGGCCATCACTCTCCTCTCTGGGGAGTGAATGAAATTTCGCAAAATACCAATAACTTGCTTTATGTGCTCAATTGACAGCTTAAGCTCCTCGTGTCCCTACAACATGAAATGGATAGAAATGGGTATTTCTTGCAAATGGAAGAGTTGTTCTTTGTTTTAATAAAGTTTGTGTGTTATTCACTCCTCTGACCTTGTTCCTCTCGAGCTCCAAATATAGTGTGTTACACATTTGTCCTCCTTCTTACATCCTCATTGTATTGCATTATCTCCAATTCTAGTTTTTCCCCAGGATTTCAAGTCTTATCTCCCTCAGTCTTTCCTTCCATCTACAATTTACAGACTCTTAAACCCCAAGCTTGGAGTCACCTAGCCCCCAATCCTTGACTTGTCTCCTGCACTTTTCAACCTTGCCCATGACCTGTCAGCGAGAAAACAAGTTCAATTTCAAAGGAGATGTGACACTGAGTCAGATTAATACCCCCTGAATCAACTGGTATGCGTTGGGAAAATCTTGACTGTTCCAGAAATGAAAGTATTAAATTGACTAAATTTATCTAAATCTATTTCATATGAAAACAGCATCATGTCAGTCACAAGTAAGTAATGTGTAGTTCCTCATATACACAGAAGTCTGGAAGAGGTAATTTACCTGTGAAAAACTTTCCAGCAAGTTTGAAACAACTTGATTCAGGTCCATATTCAGGATCTTGTAGAGAATGGACCTGCGTTCACTGTCTTTCTTTAGCAGAAAAAGGCCTGTATCTACTTCATCATAAGCAACTGCACTATTTTGATCCTCATTGAATGAAGTCTGATTGGAGATGCTGCATTAAGGAGCAGAGCAAGATCAGAGAAAGCAGCTTTAAAGAATTAAATCATATTGGTTTGGGTGTACGAAACTTTGGGGCCAATTTTACAGTATTTCTAAATGGAATTTGTCCATTAGGAAACACAGCAAGATTGTACCCTAAATTACTCTTGAAAGTTTCACAATACAATTCCATGATCTAGGATAGCTGAATTGCAATAGAACACCAATAATGACTTGCATTTACATAATGTCCTTCACGTAGGATGTCTCTGAATGTGTTACAGTGATGGGGTTGGACATTGAGTGGGGAGAGGGACGAAAGTGGAGTTGAGCATAGACATGCTTGAAGTGGAAGGTTTACAGACATGTTTGAAGTCTAATAGAGAGTGCATGAGATGGAGGAGTAGAGGAAGGGAGTTCCAAAGGTAGGTGACGTAGAATCTGAAAGCTCAGCCACCAATGTTGACATAGATAGTGCGGAGGACACACAGCAAGTCTCAGTTAGCTGAGCAGAGGGGCGAGCAGATGATTAGGATAAGAGAGATCAGAGAGACACTGAGCTACTAAAATGTGAGGGAATTTATAGGTAGAAGGCACTGTATAAAGGAAAAAGGGCATATCTGCTCTTCCCTGGTGGGAAATAAGGAACACGACTGAGCGGATTTCTTATCGGATGGTGAATAATAGGTTGGTACTGAGGCATATCTGAGATTTCAGCTCAATGTTTGGCAAGTGAGTTGCAACCAGACAAGTAATTCATTCAGAAATACCCTGATACTGGGAGGACAGTAGAACTGGTGTATCAAATGGGACAGAGGTCCTTCTTTATTTAAATATATCTTGTGAATCTGTCTCTCATTGTCTGATTTTTTTTCATTCTCTCAAATTATCTCTCTCTTTGAGTTTGCATTGTGGAGTCCTGTAGCTCAGTGGTTAGAGCACTCGCCTTGCAAGCGAGATACCCTGGTTCGATTCCCAGCAGGGTGAAACCTCGGGCAAGTTTCCTTACTCCACACGCCTGATAATAATCCCTCAAGAAAAAAAAACAATAATAATTTGGTCACTTCAATCCACAACTGTTTGTGACACACTGCTGTATGTAATTGGCTGCGGCGTTTCGCCCATAAATATGCAGTCAATTCACTTTACAGTATATTCTGTGAAGCTCTTTGAGATGTCTAGAAGACTCGAAAAGCGCTATATCAAATGCAAGGATTATTACCCTTGTACACATGCATGTAATTACATTTTGTTTACCTTGCAATCCTGCATCTCATTTTGTATCTGAGCCTAATGCAGTTAAGTAGATTTGCAGATAGTCAGCATGTGAATATGCAGGATTCCACTGTACCTGAGTGAATAAGACCTCAAAACTCTTATCTAATTTTCTGACACTGACCATTGTTTTCTCTCGAAGAATACATCGTGTTTCGAGTCAGAGTCAGGCGACACAGATCCGTGCTCACTCCCACTGCTGCCCACATTATCATTATGGATTGGGGTGGGAAGTGACACACTCTGGTTGCACTCTAAACAGCAAGAAAACAAACAGCAATTAGGTCCAGTTACAGTTACAGTAACATCTCTTTGTTTAGTTTTACTTACTAAATGTGCCATGTGTAATTTGGTGACTGCATGGTCGGTACAATTTTATTGCTTATTCTTTGTACATTTGTGCTAAAAGATGGGTACTTGGGTGATAGAGATAACAACATCAATGACTTGTATTTATATAGCGACCCCTCACTCAGGGTAGCGTCCCAGAGTGCTTAAAGGGTTATGATGAAAGGGCAATATTCTGGTGAAAGATTAAAAGGTTTTAATCTCAATTTTAATCATTGAGATTAAAATATCTGCCAAGATCAGAACCGGTGGAACAGGCTCGATTGGGCTCCATCTGTTTTCTTGTGTTTTTTACCTTTCTCAGGAAAATTTCACAAAAAGGTCAATCATGTGAATTATATAAACTATGCAGGATCCATTTAGTTGTTTGCCACAAAATACGCCATCAATCCACTTTGCAGTACATTCTGTGAAGTGCTTTGAGACGTTTCAACAACGTGATGAGGCCTTTATCAAAATGCAAGGATTATTATTAAAGCAGCTTTAACTGTATGCACAATGTATCTTGATCGCCATGTCTTACCACTTGGCTTGAAGGCTTGAATTTTATGCTTCTTGCCCTTGATCTTTTGTCTGAGGAATGGGTCTTTGAGCAAATCAACAGCAGTGGCTCGATTACGGGGATCAGGCTCAAAGCACTGCAGGATGAAAGCCTTCGCTTCTGCTGACATGGATTTGGGGATATCCGGATGGATTTTAAACATTCCCACCTGCAGGAAGAAATGCAGCTCAACAGTGACAAAGGAAACAGTGACACCTGCTGGTTTATATTCTCTCTCATTGATTCCACGGATTATTCAAGCCCCCTCACTATTAGGTACTAGAAAACACAGAAAAATCTGTAAGATTAACTGAACAAGATTTTCTTTCAACATGTCTTTAGGTAATAATAATAATCTTCCTGGCATTTGATTTAGCCCCTTAACACATCGTCAAGACATCTCAAAGTGCCTCAGAGGTTATACTGTAAAGTGGATTGACTGTGTATTTTGTGTAAGAAGCATCCGATGTGTCAGCCTGGCTCATCTGGTAATGCCTAGAACAGAAGCTTGTGTATTTAAAACCTACATTAAACACATAATCTATGATGACACCCAATCCAGTACTGGGACTAGTGTGCTGTATTGTCAGAGGTGCCGTCCTTTAGATGAGATGTTAAACTGAGATGTTACAATAACAACAACAACTTACATTTATATAGTGCCCTTCATGCCAGACAGCATCTTGGAGCATTTAAACTGAGTGTTAAACTGAGAATCTTGGTTAAAGATCCCATGGCACTAGTGGTACTAATCAAAAAGAGAAGAGAATTTCTCTGGTGTCCTAGCCAACGATTCCCCTAATAAAATTGGTCACTTTATGGCTGTTTGTGGGACACTGCTTCAACTGTAAATTAGCTGCCACATCTGTCTACAAAATATACAGTCAGTCCTCTTCACAGTAAATACTGCAAAGCCCTTTGAGATGTTTTAACATTGTGATAAGCCACTATATCAAATGGAAGGCTTATTATTAGTTGTAGTAGTACGTTGTCTACTTTTAATATTTCATCATTTGTAATTTGAAATGTGTTTACTCATTTTATTTCATGCAAATTTAAGTCAGAAATAAATAGATTTTAATGGCTTCAAGGCAACATGTCGGACATTGCTGTGCACAAATTAGCTGCCACATATGCTCACAATAAAATAATCACAGCCACTGCATTTTACAGTACATGCTGTTAAGCACTCTAGGACACCCTCCTGATGTGAAAGATGCTATACCAAATGTAAGGGCTTATAGTAATATGTGTAATAATCCTTGCATTTGATATAGCGCCTTATCACATCTTTGAGATATCTCAAAGCACTTCACAGAATATTTTGTAAAGTAAATTGACTGTATATTGTGTGGCCGAAACATGGCAGCCAATTGCTCACAGCAGTGTCCCACAAACAGTCGTGGATTGAGTGACCAAATTATTATTACAATTTTTTTTAGGGGATTATTATCCCCGGAAAAGCAATCCACCAATGGACTAACAACCGGATTCCTACTTACTGCTACATGAACAGAGGTGTGTGGAGTAAGGAAATGCCCAGCGTTTCGCCCTGCCCGGGAATCAAACCCAGGTCCTCTCATTTGCGAGGCAAGTGCTCTAAGCTACAGGACTCCACTCCTTATTTAAATATGATGTGTTTCTAAGTATGAAAATAGGAAGTGGCTGCTGACAAATGAATGCAGTTGTGGGCAGCCAACGCAAAAAGACATAAACTCATCTTGTTAAGGGTAAAGAGCAATTTCACCTTAAACACTGCTGCTTCAGGCTCTCCTGATTCACAGCATGGTGGTTTCCCTGTTGCCATTTCAATGATAGTGCAGCCCAAGGACCATATATCTGCTGGTGTGCCATATCCTCGAGGACCTTTGTCTATAATCTCTGGAGCCATATACTGCAATGTTCCTAGAAATGATTGGTATTACAAGAAGAAGAATAGAGAATGGAGATAGAGAATGCTTCACATTTACAATACTTATACTTTAAATTCCTGGTTTATCCTCTTACCAGCAAATGTTTCAGTACATGGATTCACTCCTGCTAGCCTCTTGGACATTCCAAAATCGGAGATCTTCACCACCCCGCTGTACGTGTTTACCAGTATATTGTCTCCCTGAAAGGAAGAATGTCCTTAAACGTTTAGAAAAAATATCAGAAGAGTTAACTAGAGGAATGAACAAATAGCCAGTATCCTCATCAGCACGACAGTATAAAACTGGCTTCTCTTACTACAGCAGCAGATAGAGGTAGCATTGACATTGTATACCAGCAGAAAGGTAAGTGGTGAATTCTCCCTACATAAAATTGGTGCAATCTGTATGTGGTAGAAGGAACAGTCTTTTTTTATCAATTAATAATCAATTTATCAATTATACTGAATTCTGGTCTTGCTTTGGAGGCTTGGATTGCCTAAGCCTGGCAAGTAGCTTGAAGAGAAGGAAAAAGGATTGATGTTTTGGTGGAAAGCACGAAAGGTACAGAATTTAGTTGGCAATTTTCAAATGATAGCCTAGATGATTTTGCCCTTGCTTTTGCTGCATTTGACTGAATGTAATGCGAAAGGCCCTGGTGTGATGACCAGGTGTGCATCTTATTTTTCTGCCTAAAGAGAATGAATGTAAGAATGAATGAGAAGACACTACCATCCCCACTCACACAATAATATTAATAATTCGTGCCATTTGGTAAAGCGGCTTATCACGTTGGAAGGACGTCTCAAGCGCTTCACAGGAGTTACTGTGGAGTGATTGTATTTGTATGCAAATGCAGCAGCACAATTGACACAGCAATGTCCCACAAACAGCCAATGAAAGAATGACCAATTTTATTTGGGGGATTGTTGGCCACAAAACCAGGAGACATTCCCTTCTCTTTTCAAATAATGCCAAGGAATATATAACGTCCAACTGAACAGGCAGTCGGGATCTCGGTTTAACGGCTCATCCAAAGGACGTCACCTCCAACAATGCAAAACACCCCCAGCAATGCATTGGGAGTGTCAGCATAGACTGTGAGTTCAAGTCCCAAAATGCAATTCGAACCCACAACCTTCTGACTCCGAGGCAAGAGTGCTACCACTGCGCCAAGCTCACAAACAAAGACAGGAAACATGGCTGTTTTGTGTCCTGCCCTTAACAATAAGTTTGGGGATGAACATTCCTCCTCCTCACTACTTCTGAGATTGTTTATCCCTTATAGAACTGATGGAATCAGTTACCTTGATGTTTTGATGTACTATCCGATTTTCATGAAGGTACTTGAGTCCTTCCAGTATCTGTCTGGTGTAAAACACAATGGTAGACACATTATCTTTCAATGGACCCCATTTGGATCTCAGGAGTGCAGAAAGGCTGCCTGCAAATAATAAAGGCATACATTATAACAGAAAATTAATTCATTACAGTACTAGATTGTAGAGAGCAATAGATCTAGTGCAGCACAGACTATTTCAATACGGTTTCCATTGATAATTATTAATAACAACTGTTATCTCTTGATTAATATAAACACTCCAAGACTTTACCCGCAAGAAGGGGACTATATAAATGCAAGTTATTGTTGTTGTAATTTGTATATAAAAAAAAGCCCTGAAATTCCACTTAGCCTGCATTGCCATTTAGTCTTAAAATTTAGGAGCGCTTAGAATAGTGAAGAATTTGCAAAACTCCTCTAATTAAGTCCCACGAAGATGTGAAAATACCAAATGATCCTTGCTTTCAGTCGCAATGTCTGGCATGTTTTATACAGTATCTCATGCTCTCTATCATTTAGCCCAGACAAAGTACACTGGAAGTGCCACTGTACTATGTACATACAAACGTTTCATAAACCTACCTCCTGGCACTTGCTCCATGAATATCTTGATAAAGCCATTTTCGGAGATCGAGCCGAGATACTGCACAATATTCCGATGCTTAAGGTACTTCTGCAGAGCTATCTCCTCATGGAGAGGTTGGGAGTACCTGTGAATAAGTACTGTTACTAACACACCTACTAATCTGTTACTAACAATAGTTTCCCTATTGCCTCCTCCTGACACATGCACACCCAAAAGCCTTTTTTTAAAAAAAAACTGCTGTACTGTACTTGTCATTAATTGGCAATCAGATTTAGGGTTAGCTGGTGTGACAAAAGAAAACTTCACATTGCTGCAGTAGGGCTATTCCGACTGAGATTGGAGCTGAAAGACGTTGTAATTAGCACAACAGAGGCAGCTTTACTCTAACATCAGATTGTGTGATCTATCTTATGCTGATTGCTAAAAATAGTGAACATTTTACTAAATGTTAATGATGGGGAAAAAGGATGCTATTTTTACTATTTAGTAGATAATAGATCCCACTATGGCTACTTTAAGCTCTGTGGGTGCTATCCTGTGTGAAGGGCGCTATAACAATGCAAAAAAATGTCAAATTCCATACATCAGAAGATTTGAGAAATAGAATCCACACTAAATCTTTCTAATCTATTGCTTACTGTTAGTTAGCAGCATTTCATCCTCTAATATTCCACCAATTAGATAGTTAGCAATAATCCATCCATTAGATAGTTAGTAATATTCTGTCCATTAGAGACACACACTCACAAGAACATTCAGTGTAACAGTGCACTTGAGAATGAAACAAAGGCTCATTCATCCCGGTTACATGCAATAAACATAAGTTGCAAAATCAGGACGACTACCAGGAACAGATCTGTACTGATCACAAGATTGGTTTGGATGATGAAGGCTCTTTGGCCCATCCAATCTCATCCTTCCATAACACCCACCCTACTGTCCCCTCATGCCCAGAAAAGCAGCTTGAGTCCTGATTCACAAATGACACATACCTGCAATCTCTCTCTGGTATTTCTTTGATTGCTATTCTGACTTGAGTGCTTAGGTTCCGCCCAGCATAGACCAGGCCATACATGCCTTTACCCAATACCACTCTTTCTCCAGTCTCATCCAAGTCATATTCATACTGGAAGTGAAGAACAATTATCTTTTGGAGGATCATTAAGACTAAAACAGCCTCTATTATATTACAAAACATTTTATAGTTCAATCAATACAGTTAAGGAAAAAATGAGACTTGCAATGTGATAATTATCATGGGGAAAATGTATAAATTGACAGACTTAATGGTAGGTTCAAGAGTGAGCTCCTTCCCCCTCCCCCTTTACTTCAAATAAACAGTTTCACCAAGATCTCTATGTGGGAAGCATTTTGAGATATTTCAACTTGATAAGGTGCTGTATCAAACACAAGTATTACTTATTCATTAGGATAGTTTTCCAACTTACCTCCAGTGTGTCACCATCATTATCCACCTCAAATTCCAAGCTATTTCCCACTTTATCTATAATTTCCTTCACCAAGTGACAAAACCTGAAAGAACGATACAGTCAAATTCATACAGAGAAATGGAAAGCACACCAACAGTACAAAGAATTGTTGATCTTTTTGTCAAACAAAAATCAGAATGAACATGATTTAGAAATGAACTTTTTACTGTATGTGGTCTCAGATTGAATCCCTCAGCCCCGTTAATACCAAAAACAGAAAGTGCTCTTCATTGTTTTTTGAAGGAGACTGGTTCACAAACAGAAAGTTTCTGTTTATACCTTTCCTACTTGAGAAACTTTGGGGTTGAAAAAGTGCTGTTAGGAAAACCTACGTAAACCAGACCCTCAAAATAATAATAATAATAATCCTTGCATTTGATATAGCGCTTTTCACGTCTGGAGGACGTCTCAAAGCGCTTCACAGAACACACTGTAAAGTGAATTGACTGCATATTTGTGGGCGAACGCGGCAGCCAATTGCGCACAGCAATGTCTCACAAACAGTCGTAGATTGAAAATGACCAATTTAATTATTGTTTTTAGTTTTGGAGGGATTATTATTAGGCGTGTGGAGTAAGGAAACTTGCCCAAGGTTTCGCCCTGTCTGGAATTGAACTCAGGTCTCTCGCTTGCAAAGCAAGTGCTCTAACCACTGAGCTACAGGACTCCACAAAGCTGGAAACAACACCTCAGGAGTACATTGCTTCTCGTCCCGGGAAATGTATTTACAATCACCAACTCGTGAGAGCTGAGGTATTACTGGAGATCATCTTGAAGCTCCATTAAGTGCCAAGAAACTCCAGCATCTAGGCAAGACTGTCACTTAAAATGTGTTTTTAAACTGGTTTATTGGGTTAATGCACCCTAACTTTTTTTTGTAAGTGGAGGGGGTTGTTATCTAAATATTCATTTTGAAGCGGTATGGTGACAAACATAAAATGTCCCCATTGAAAGTTCAAAGTAGGTTAATGTACAACAATAACAACAAATTACACTTGTATAGCACCTTTCACGAAACCTCTCTCCATTATACTTGCCCGCTAGTGCCAAGCAATCAAAGTATTCAAGAACGTAACAAAATATATGTTTGTTTATAATCCCCATTATAAAAATAACTCATTACTAACTGAGCAGGTCAGTCAGAATTAGCCTGTGGGTGTCACTGTTGTGCACAACTGAAGGGCCCACTAAAAGAACCAGCGTAAAATTGACTCCAATTTAAGATGAATTTGAACATTTATGGAAACCTGCAAAAATCATTGATGAAGCCAATTTCAGATTTTGGGTTGGCATCAAACTGTATTAAATTCAGTGGCCTACCTCAAAAATAATAATAATCCTTGCATTAGCACCTTAATAATAATAATAATCCTTGTATTTGATATAGCACTTTTCATATCTTCTAGATGTGTCAAAGAGCTCCACAGAATAGACTGTAAAATTAACTGACTATATTTGTGGGCCAAATGTGGCAGCCAATTGCGCACAGCAATGTCTCACGAACAGTCGTGGATTGAAGTGACCAATTTATTATTGTATTTTTTCTTGAGTGATTATTATCAGGCGTGTGGAGTAAGGAAACTTGCCCAAGGTTTTGCCCTTGTGGGAATTGAACCCAGCTCTCTCGCTTGCGAGACGAGCACACTAACCACTGAGCCACAGGACTCCACAAACCGTATCACATCAACATGCAGATGGAACTTTGATTTAATGTCTCATTTTAAGGACAGCACCTCCAACAATACAGCACACCCCTAGCACTGCATTAAGCAGTGAGTTCAAAGTTCCAACTTGGGGTTTGAACCCACAATCGTCTGACTAAGCTACCATCTGAGCCAGGCTGAAACCTCAACCACCTGACACCTCAACCACCTTTCCTGGTAACTCATTCCAGCTATTAATTACCATCTGTTCAAATAAACGCTTCTAATCTGGTTTCAAACCTGACCTTTCACAACTCTGAAACTGTGCCCTCACGTTGCGCTGCCAAAAAGGTTATAGCATTAACAGGGATCAGAATCTCACAAAGTGGAGAGGTCATAGCATTAACAGGGGGCTACTCATAAATCTCACCAGAATTGATAGCTTGACAGTTCTCTTCTTACCTGCTACGCTGAGCCTCTGTGGAAAAATAGATCTGAAAATCTTCAGAGTTGTCATAGACATACAGGAAGCAGCAGCGCTCATCAAATTTTGAAATGCTGAAGGGGAGAAAATAAAATTGGAAAGAAATGAACCATTATATTCCATAATAATAACAGAAGTCGCTGGGAACACTCAGCAGGTCAGGCAATATCTATGGAGAAAGGAAAGTGAGTCAATGATTCGGATCCACGACCCTTCGTTAGAACAGATCAACGCTGTGTGATTGAAGATACCGCAGCCTCAGGTCGGCATGAATGAAATTATTCTATTAAGCAAGGAACATAGAAGAGGGGAGTGAAAATATAGTATTCACTTCCTGGATTCACTAAATAATGACTCCTTCAAATGCTGTCAATCTGCCAACTGCAAAACGTATGGATGATTCGTCAATAGTTAGTTATTTTCCATACCTAAATGGGATTCGTTTATAATGAAACCCTCCCAACCTTAGTAATAAACTTTGCATTTTATATAGCGCCTTATCACGTAGTTGAGACGTCTCAAAGCGATTCACAGAATATACTGTAAAGTGGATTGATTTTAAAACAAGTTAAACCTTGTATCAGGCCATTTCTCTGGTTTGACTGGGTTCAAATTTATGCTTGGTTCCCATGTTATGTTAACACTTAAATTCCTTTGGTGATATGAATGCACTGAAATCTTTCTCAAATAACTATTAAATGCAAGTTCCGTATATTTCTTATTATTCACATACTTCATCATACACCCTACAGTAACCTTTTCTGATTTACTTCTTTTAGCCAGAGATGCAAGGTCACAGTTTCATGGTTATCCTTTACTGCATAAAATGTCTCATAACCCCAGCCCCAAGCACACACACTTCAAACCAAAGTCCACACCTTAATATATTTGGCACTGACATTATTTCATACACTCACCTTATGCCCTTGATAGATGAGGCTGTGAAATTCCATTCATAAATTCCCTTCAGTTGTAAAAATACAATATACAATATTACATTAGTTACACAGAATAGTTAAACAATGAAAGTAAAGACAGCATCAATAGGTATATCTCACATAGCAAAGTAACAAGTAGCTGTGTGTGATTGTCTGTGGTTAATACTAAGAAACTATGAAGCTTGATCAGACAATCTTCAAAGTTCTCAAAATGACAGCAGTTGTCTAAGTATTTAAAATATCTTTCAAAACCCCATAAATCCTCAGTATAGTGCACATCAGGTAGAAACTGACAGGATGTCTCAGTGAGGCCTGCTTTATATATGCTGATAACTGGGCAAGTTATAAACATATCATGAAACAGTGGGACAAGCTACATTGATATAGAGCATCTTTGATAGTAGCTATCTGAATTATATTTATTTCCTAGGCAAATGACACACAACTCTGGTGTACATATCAGATATGTGAGATGCAACTTTCACATTTTACATTTTTGAATGAAAATCATTTAATTTCAAACAACTCGAATCAAACCACTTGAACATATGTTTTGCATGGTTGATCTGCCTGCTCATCATAGCTTTGAGAGGTGTAATGTGGTGTCAGTGTGGCTCCTTTGGTAGCACTCTTGTCTTTGTTTTAGAGATGATAATTCAGAGAGAGGACTGCCTTCCTTTGGATGAGGCATTAATGTGAGGTAATGTCTACCTACTTCCAGTTATACATTAAAGATGCAATGACACTATTCAGAAACAGAAAGTACAAATGGTCACAATGTTTGACATAACATGGCCTATGCCTATGAATATTCAATGTCTATGAATAGACTTTGCTAACTTAGATGAGGAAACAGAGTTTAATGTATCTAAATTTGTGGACAATACAAAGCTAGGTGGGAAAGTAAGCTGTGAGGAGGACACAAGGACGATGCAAAGGGGTATAGACAGGTTAAGTGAGTGGGCAAGAAGGTGGCAGATGGAGTATAATGTAGGGAAGTGTGAAGCTATTCACATAGGTAGAAAAAATAGAAAAACAGATTATTTTCTAGAGTGGGAGAGACTAGATAGTGTTAATATTCAGAGGGGTTTAGGTGCCCTTGTACACCAATCACAGAAAGTTAGTATGCAGGTACGGCAAGCAATTAGGAAGGCTAATAGCATGTTAGCATTTATTGCAAAGGGTTTAGAGTACAAGAACAGGGAAGTCTTGCAGCAATTGTATAGGGCCTTGGTGAGACCGCACCTGGAATATTGTGTGTAGTTTTAGTCTCCTTATCTAAGAAAGATATACTCGACTGAGAGGGGGTGCAACGTAGGTTCACTAGGTTGGTTCCTGAGATGAGGGGGTTGACCTACGAGGAGAGGTTGAGTAGACTAGGTCTATATTCTCTAGAGTATAGAAGTATCTTATATATTATAGGTTATAGAAACCTATAAGATTCTTCAGGGTCTTGACAGGGTAGATATTGTGAGTCTGTTTCCCCTGGTTGGAGAATCTAAATCTAGGCGTCTTACTCGCAGGATTAAAGGTCAGCCCTTTAGAACTGAGTTGAGAAAACATTTCTTCTCTCAGAGGGTAGTGAATTTATGGAATTCTCTACCCCATAAGGCTGTGGATGCTCAGTCATTGAACATATTCAAGACTGAGATTGATAGATTTCTAAAAACTAAAAGATTTAAGGGATATGGGGATAGGGCATGATCTTATTAAGTGGCAGGGCAGGCTCGAGGGGCCGAATGGCCTATTCCCACTCCTATTTCTCCTGTTCTTATGTTCTTAAGTTTCAGATTTTAATTGATATTTGTCAGTTGCTTCAATTCACTTTAAATTGAAGAAAATGAATTCCGGTCTTTAACATCATTTTTTTCAATGGTGTTTTGAAAAGTTGAATGGCCAATTGTAAGGTCTCGGGGACGTCACTTCCTGTGCACTGTGTATGCGCACTAGGCACAGGCAGCACCAGTAATGTCATACACATGTCTGATACATAGAATGTGACGTTAGAGGCATTGCCTGCACACGGCATGTACACCGCTCAGCAGTGACATCATGACAATCCTACAACCCAGAAGTCAGACAATTATGTAATCAAAGGACTTACTAAAATTAAAAAATACTTTTACAAAGCTTACAAAGAATGGACAGCACAGAAACCGGACGCGCAGCCCAACTATTCCGTGCCAGTGCTTATATTCCACACAAGTCTTTACCCATTCCTTACTCCATCACACACTTTGCTATTCCCCTCTCCCTCAAGTGAAAGTCTAGCTTCCTCTTGATTGCATCTATACTATCTGATTCAACCATCGCTTCAGGCAGCACGTTCCTTAATTTCACCATCATGGTCACTATGTTATATTTGTGTCCCCTGGTTATGAATTCCCCAACCAGTGAAAGCAATCTATTTATGTTAGCACAACCTATCTTCTTCAGAATTGACTCGTTTCCAGTATCTTGACTCTGATTTCACCATCCAACAGAATTCCGTCTGTCCTTTTTAAAATGCTGATCTTACCACTTCTTCGGGTGAGACGTGCCAAATAGAGACAGTTTTCTCATCAGCTTCGCTGTTTATTGAGATGTAAGATGGCTGGTAGACTTTGGTTGGCTCTAGAATCAGAACCTAAATAGATCAAAGGAGTCCATTACATTTTTCCCTCTGACCCTGAAGGCATAAATTTCTGCTAGGGTACACAATTATTCTCCAGCACACAGCCAAGTGTCCTTTTTTCAGCCACAAGCTTGGACTAGAGATTGTCAGCAGTTATTCGACTGTGGATGGTATCACAACCAAGCCCATTGCTATCATTAGCCAATCTCCACACATAAAAACATTTACTTCCAGAACGAATCATAGAATTGTGATAAGGATCAGTTAGCACAACTGCTTTTTTCTCCAAAAACAATTATGGCATGCATACTGCTAACTGCACTGACCGGGGATTGAACCTAAATGTTTTCTGGTCTGCGTAGCTCAGTTTCAAACTGGACAGTTAATTTACTAACTGAAGGATGGGGGAAAGCACCTTTACGTTTTAACATAAAGTTTCCTCTAAATTGATGGTAATTTAATATTTCCCACACAATGGTTTTCACATCATTTGTTTCCTAACCGTAAACAGACTGTAACATCTATTGTACAAAGAGAATCCCAGATTACTCTTGTCCCAGAGGAAAGATTGGAATATACCTGTACTGTCAACTGACATAAGAGAAAGTGAGTTTCACACTTTTACGGTTTAATAATGAACTACTATGAAAAGAAAACAAGATGTGCCTTTTACACAAGTTAAATTGCAAGGCTGTAACTCAATCAGTGGCATCGACTTACATCATAAACTACAAGGGAAAAATGTATTTAATCTGACCATGTCATTCTGAATCTGGGATTGTGTTACAGCCCATAAGTAACTGACTTTCACACAGCTGTTACTCTGTTCAACACACAGAGGTTATGTCATCAGCATGTATCTGTCACTGGAGAGCCTGTCATTTTCTTCTGCTTTTCAATTTTCAGTTATAATGTGTTATCCTGAGGGCAAGAGAGATCTCTAAGAGGGATGGCGTGACCTGGAAGCTCATATGCACCACCTGTCATCTCATTAACAGAGCACGAGTGGAAGCCTGGCTGATTGCTTTTATAGTTGGGAAAGGGATTCCTAAAGATAGTGAGAAACTTATCTATAAAAAGAGGGTAAGTAGACAGCACAGTGACACTGTCATTGAGCAACAGCACCTGGACACACAGTTACCATTCCATATGTGGTGCATTCCTATTACAAAGACTGTAGTTCATGAAAAACCCAGTGATTTTAGGCACTTCCCCACAGACAAAGTGTGGGGGCAGCTAATCTGAAATCAAGCCCCTCCATGGCTTGTGTCTTGGCACCTCTCGGCTATCAATTATAGTGGGATGTTGACACAGCCTTAGAGCGGGCACTCCATTTGTCCTCTTGGGAAAGGGGTTATGATGCATGAGGTGTGGTGACCCGAAAGTAAGGGGAAGAAGGGCCACGCAAGAGTCACAATACCTATAGGAGAAGAGGTAAGGGAGAAAGAAAATCTCATACTGGGAAGCGTAATCTATTGGTGATGCTCTCCGTTGTTTCCACAATGATGTCCAGCCAGAAGTTGAGACTTTCCCGTTTCAAAGAATTCTCCACATTTTGTTTCCAGAACTGCTGAATTAATGTCAGGTTCTGAACTGTTGACCTCAGGAACCTGCAAAAGCAAAAGAACAGCCCTCACGTCAAGAAAAACAGTATTTACACTAAGTGATAACTCAGCACTTCCACTAAAAGATGATCCTGCACTCACAACAAGACATAGTTTAGTCTTTACCTCCAAATTGTTTTTTGTGCAACAGAGACCAAAATGGCTGCATGAAAACTAAGCTGCTGTAGTACAGTCATTCTGCATAGACCGTGCTGTAAACTCTGCATCAAAGATTGAAACATTGCCAATAATGTCAATGGGGGAGTGTAGGAGAGCATAATGTATAACGCAACAGAGACATAATACTTACCAGAAAGGGGGATTGAGTTTAAAGAGCTTCTCAGCTGCTTGCACAGCCTTGTCAAAGTCTTTGGCAAGCAGACTTACAACAAGGAAGTGACCCACATCATAGTAGTTGTTCATCATTTCCAGTCTTCCTTTTCTGCCCAGCAAACTATTCAGCCGCATGCCTGCTCCCAAAGACAATTGCAATGAAATAAGCAACAACATTCATTCTTTCTGACATATGTCTCCTGACCTCACCAAAGTGGACATCATTCTGGAGTTAAAATTTCAATTCAGTGATCTATCCTGGGCAAGTGTTGAAATAGTGGAGGTCTTTCAAGAAGGACAATACACTGAGTTATCCTCTGCTTTGTTCAGTTGGATGCTAAAGATCCCATAGCACTATTGTGAAGAAGAGACCAGACATTTCTACTGATATTCTAACCAATATTATCCTAAGAGAGTTTCTCCTGGCCAACAATCTACCAAATAAAATTGGTCACTCACTTCAGGATAGAAGCGCTCTGGGACTCGACCCCACTTGAAGGTCGCTATATAATTCCAGGTTATTGTTGTTGTTCATGGCTGTTTGTGAGGCATTGCTGTACTCAAAATGGTTATCATGTTCACTTGCAACTACACAGTTAATGTGTGATAATAATTCCTCAAGAAAAAAATAATAATTTGGTCATTCAATCCATGACTGTTTGTGGAACATTGCTGTGCGCAATTGGCTGCCGCATTTCACCCACAAATATACAGTCAATTCACTTTACGGTATATTCTGTGAAGCACTTTGAGACATCTAGAAGACGTGAAAAGCGCTATATCAAATGCAAGGATTATTATTACTATACTTCACAGCAAAATCTTGTGAAATGCTTTGAGACGTCTCAACAACTTGATAAGGCAATGTACCAATGCAAGAGCATTGAATTCACCAAATTCATAGATTAAATTTCACCATTAGAAATATGGTATTGGAACAGATTCGCTCTGGATTGGCTTCCCTAACCACAGTAACTACACTTCAACTTTTTTTTTGTGCGAAATACTTCAATATATCCAATGCAAGTATAATATAAGCAAGGATGGGATGTGCCTTTAACGGAGTAGAGATGGTGCCTGCTTCCAACTGAGCAGGGATGGGCCTAAATTATTTAAAAGAGTACAAAAGTCAATGATAGATACCGTAATTCCTGAATGTAATTACAGTAAAGAGGTTCATAAGCTTTGATGAGAAAAAGAAGTAAAACACCTTCAGCACTGAAACACTCACCGATTTTTCTCAGTTCCATCGAGGTTTCAAATTGTTGTCCAGCAACAATTAAGAACACAGTCAGGTTAATGCCCGCGTACAAGGTTGGTTGGAGCTCAAAACCTTTACGGTACCTAATTATTAGCAAAGACAAACTGATATTAAAATTCACAATATTTAATAAATGTTATGTCAGGACTTAGAATGACTATAGTCTAAGCTGACACTCCAACGTGCTGCATTGTTTGAGGTGCTGGCCTTCGGTTGAGACAGTAAGCCAAGGTCTCATCTGTCTGTTCAGGTGGACATTAAAGATTCCGTAGCACTTTTCAAAAAGAGAAGGAATTTTCTCTCAGTGTCCTGGCCAGCAATCTGCCCAAATTAAATTGGCCATCCACTTCATAGCTGTTTGTGGGGCAATACTGTGTGCAAAATGGCCTGAGGCGTTTGCCCCAAAATACACAGTACTTGACTTTACAGTAAATCCTGTGAAGTGCTTTGGGACGTCCTCCCAATGTTAAAGGCACTAAACCAAAGGATTATTATCATCTGATCTGCTCTTCTACCTGATCGCCACAATTCAATACCAATTGTTTTCTTACCATTCGATCGCATTGTCCCGGGTGGTTGTATCCTTGCAGTGTGAGTCAAGGAAGAGGTCTTTGTAAATTCTTCCACACAAACAATACATGTCAGGTGCTGGCTGGTCATATGACTTCAGGATTTGAAGCATTATATTTAAAGCCCTTTGCCTGTCACCCTGGTTGTTCCTCCTACACAGAAAATATAGAAGCAATATGTTGCTACGTTATTGAACTTAAAAAACGGGCTCACTAACTGTGTGAGTCTCCCCACTCTTTCTATTGGCTTTCTCAACAGATGGTAGCTTGAAAGGGGGAGAGGATATTAGACAGCATTTTGTTTTTTAGCCCCCACACACACACCCCCACCCCCTTGCAGAGGCAGGAGCTGCTGCTGATCACTTATCACAATAGCAACAACTTGCAAGTAGTGAATCACTGCCATTTTCTTTGGATTATAAAGATAAGAAATAAATAAGCCTACAGGCAGAAAACAGCCAAAGAACAATTCCTAGGCCAGTTTAATCAAATAGGTGTTAATTAGGGCAGCTGCCATTTCTTTCTAGATTCACCGGCATCTCTCATACCTACATTCCTAACCATACATGGGGATGGGGAAAACAGCCAAAGAAAGCTTCTGATACACAGTAGGAGATAGCAGAGATCAGTGTCTGAATTTATCAACAGACAATCAGTATGAGACAAATTTGATACTTGCAGGATTCACTAGTTACAATCTGATACCTGCAGGATTCACTAGTTACAATCTGATACCTGCAGGATTCACTAGTTACAATCTGATACCTGCAGGATTCACTAGTTACAATCTGATACCTGCAGGATTCACTAGATACAAATCAAGTTGAGAATATTGACAATTCAGATACTACACTTCACCATAAATGCTGTGAAGTGTCTTGAGAAGTCCTCTTGAATAGAAAAGACAATAAATCAAATGCAATAATTATTTTATTTAACAAGAGGGCACAGGTTCAGACTTTAAAGGGCAATTTCAGGACAACACTCAGAAGTATTTCTTTTCACAGAGGGGAATTAACAACTGGAGCGAGTTACCAGAGGTTGACACCAGCATGCTAGGCATATTTAAGAAACAGCTTGATGCTGTCATGAGAAATGGTAGGATGATTATTCTCTTTGGAAGAGATCAATTGGCACAAAGAGCCTTCACCTGAACTTCTCAAGTGCTCTAAGATGTTACCCTGTGTAAAGAGTGCTATATAAATGCAAGTTGTTTTCTTATGATCTTATGAACAATGGAAATATAGCTTTTGGTTAACAAGTTTGGCTGTTCCTGCTGCAATAAAGAAAGTAAACTGACACGCTGCTTTTATCTGAACTTCATGTTCAGACGAAGCTTGTGCAGTGGCCTAAACTCCAGAAGGAAACTCAAAGAATGGAATATGCCAAGTGCAAATGAAGCCCTTCGAGCACCTGCAGTGGATGCCGTTATGATATTTTTATTGTTACTTTGTGTTACTTGTTTACTTTTTCAAGCCAAGTGATACTATAAACTAAAGTCAAAGTGCTTGAATGTAAAAACTCAAACTGCCATGCAGTATGCAGAGGCAGCCATGTTGACAATGGAAGCATTCTATCTGAAAATGGTTTAATCAGCCGGTTATTAAAGATAAACATGAATCATGCTAACTCCCTGAGTAGGCTTATTAACGGTAAATATTTGTCATGCTAACTTACTGAATACTTTAATGCAAGATCATCAGTGCTGCTTGTTTATTATGCAATGAAACATTATAGCCAGGAATAAGGCTCTCTCCACAGAGACAGACAGAAGAACATTGCTGTCATCCATGTATTCATGATACACCTACTTCTTCCTGATATATCAACAGCAACAAATTCGCATTTATATTAGAAAATACTTACAAAGATCCAGCTTTCAAAGGTTTGAAGCCAACAGAAAAAGTGAGAACTCTTTCCCTTTGTGCAACATAGAATGATAACAGGATCTAGAAAGATTCAATCACTCAAAATGCGAAGCCTGCTCTGTGCGTTCCAAGGGCGTAGGGACAGATGTTACTTACGATTTCAGTTTGTACACTGGTGAGGCCTACTGACTTGACATTATAATAATGTCATGTTTGTAGACTGTATTTGCAGCTTGTTCAAACAATCGCACGGTTAAAGCCTGAAACCATCTGCTCAACTCCACTGTTGCTAAAGTAACTAGCAGCCCCTTTTAATACTGCTGTATGAGCCATTGTAAAGTTAAGATATTGAAACTCTATAGGTATAAATATTAGCAATGTATTCCTGAATTACATTTGTACATTAACAATTTATTGTCACAGGGCATTCATCTGATTAGTGTTAATTGTGGAGTCCTGTAGCTCAGTGGTTAGAGCACTCGCTTTGCAAGCAAGAGACCCAAGTTCAATTCCAGACAGGGCGAAACCTTGGGCAAGTTTCCTTACTCCACACAGAGCCTAATAATAATCCCTCCAAAACTAAAAACAATAATAAATTGGTCATTTTCGATCTACGACTGTTTGTGGGACATTGCTGTGCGCAATTGGCTGCCACGTTCGCCCACAAATATACAGTCAATTCACTTTACAGTGTGTTCTGTGAAGCGCTTTGGAACGTCCTCCCGACATGAAAAGCGCAATATCAAATGCAAGGATTATTATTATTAATGCAAAAAAATATGAAAACAAACCTAAATTTGAAAACCCCAGAGCACTTCAAATGATTAACACATTCTGCATTTAAACTTGGCATGTCCTCCCGACGTGAAAGGCGCTATACAAATGTGATCTTGTTGTTATGATCCCACTAACCACTAGTCGAATGTTGTAAGCCTGAAGCCAAATGTGCAGCCCAGTTTTACTGACATTGCACTGACAAAGAAGTCACCAGGTATATTTATAATCAATACATTACAAATTCCTCAAATTTAAATCAAACACTGGGCCCTGTTTTTCAGCAGATCTCTCCAGCCTGTGTGTTCCCAGCTGCCTTGGGTGCAGACCATACCTGTTCAATGCAAATGCGTAGTGGAACTTGATGTTGTACTGATTAGCCAGGTCACAGGTAGGCAGACCCTCCAGGGTCTCCACTAGCTTCACCATGCCATCGTAGTCCTGCCAGAGAAAAAGGGACAGAATCCAATAGGAAAAAGTAAAAATTAAAAATATCTTTGTGTCTTTATAAGGTCAAAGAACAAACAGATCACAAAATATGAGACAAACTGGTGGATATTTGATTCCTCTCGTACATTCTGATGGCATAGATATACACTTCAGGCATTTTTTATTTTAAATCAGGATCATTTTCAGTTTCCTGGGGTCGAATGGATCTGCACTACATAGTATGGCGCTTAGTCATAGAGACCAGGCAGGTTCTAGGTTCATCAATTGAATGTTCAGAGTTAACAATCACAGTGAGGATGTAACATATAGAAATGAAAAAAGGAAGAAGAATCATCTATGGTTCCTGTTCTCGATCGCTCTGCAAGAAACAGTGTTGAAAGTGCACACAGATAAAAAGTGATGGCGGGATACGGGGACTGCACTCACAATCAGACAGGTTGATGGCATTTATTCCCCTCACTTATTCAGTGACTCATACATGAAGAAAGGCCAGTTTGGACAATTACAGTTTCTCAGCATGAATCCCCACTTCAAGAAAGGAGGGCTGAAGGAACACAGAAAAATATAGACCTGAGCAATCTACTTATTTATTTCAGATATTTGTAAGCATTTAAATCACAATGGCCATACAGGCCTTGCTCTCCAGGCAGGCTATCTTAGTGGTCATAAAGACAGAAGTTGCAGCAGGTCAGGCATCATCTATGGAGAGAGGAAAATTAGTTAACGTTTCATGGCGATGACCTTTCATCAGAATCCTAGTGGTCATAGCAGTCATGTTAGGTGCTCTTTCACTCTTCCTAACGATGGGCTTCCAAATAACTAACTGAAAATTGAATAATTGAAACCAGTTGCCTTCACTATACCTGAATGTCTCTGTACGAGAAAAGCAGGTTGGTTATGATGTCAGGTGTGAGGACCTCGGTGCTGTCTAATCGCAATCTAATGCGTGCCAACTCCTTGGCAAGATCCTCACCATGATACTTCTCCCTTGCCTTTCTAATGTCACTCAACAGCGTATCCTTGACATGCGCACTGCTGGATAAAAAACAAAGATGCTGTGCTTTAGCTGCAGCTCAATGAACAAGACACATAAGGTGGTTAAGACATTAGGTAGAAACTCAAGTTAGCTTATTAATTTAATTTCCACACACAAACCACAGTTATATTTTCCATTACAGTTGTCCTAAAAATAAAAATTGTGTGCGTCTGGACACTATTTAAAACGTACTTTCCAAGCATGCTTAACAGGTTGGGAATGCAAAGGGGTCACCAACTACAGCATTGTCATTGTGGGGAGGGAGCAACGAGAGAGAGAGAGAGGAGTGAGGGAGGGAGGGAAGTCTGGAGTTTCCTGTCAATATTTTTTTTCAGGTAGATGCCACACCAGTGATAAGTAAAATAGTAGGGATTTCTTTTATAAAAATAAGTTTGCCTCCACAAAAACAAAAATGGTTTCCTTGGATTTGTGCTCATTCATGAGAGAACCATTCCAGTGGCTGGGTTTGCCATTGGCCAGATCATATCCTATCACTCCCCAAGTATTTCTATTACATATTCAAATGCCCCAAAATTGAACGGTCCTTCTTTATTTTGAAATTTACAGAATACAGTAAATCTAAAAAAAATTCCATGAGCTAAGGTTTAGTTCGTCCACAAAGCAGTCACTCCACTTTGCAGTAACAACAACTTGTATTTTTTTTATAGATTCCTTCACGCAGGTGAGCGCCTCAGAATGCTTAAATCCTATAAATCTTGTAAGAATAAGAATACTAATCCTTGCATTTGATATTGTGCTTTTTATGTTTTTGAGACGTCTCAAAGTGCTTCACAGAATATATTGTATATTTGTGGGTGAAACTCGGCAGCCAATTGCGCACAGCAGTGTCCCACAAACATTTGTGGATTGAAGTGACCAATTTTATTATTTTTTTCTTGAGGGATTATTATCAGGCGTGTGGAGTAAGGAAACCTGCCTAGAGGTTTCACCCTGCCGGAAATCGAACCCAGGTCTCTCGCTTGCTCTAACCACTGAGCTACAGGACTCCTACAGGACTTACTGTAAATGAGTAAGTGCTGAGAAGCACTTTGAGAAGTCCTCCTGACTGAAAGGCGCTACATCAAATGCAAGGATTATTATTATTAATCCTTGCCTTTGGGATAGGGCCTATTGGAAAATGTTACAAATTCCTTTTATATTATCTCTTTGCAGTTCTTCTTATCTCTAATTTACATTTTAATTTTACTGGGTATTTATAGTGTTTGAACCCTGTTGTGCTGGTGCCATTTCATGCTGTGGAGATCCTTTTCACTAAACAGTGTCATGCGTGTTGTTTGCATTGAATGAAGGCTCATTGGTTTAGAGAGCCTGTTTTTCAATACGTGTACCATTACACAAAGAAGTCTGTGTTTTGCTATACATTCATTTTCCTATCTAAACCTTTGCTGATATGTACACCCAGGCATCCCCTACACAGTACCACAAGTATCAGACTGATACGTCATCAAAGGAGTTATGCTTCATGTGTCAGTCTAAACTGTGAGTGTTGACAGGATACTTTGATCGTATCCTCACCCACATGCTACTGGATTGCACTCTGAAGCAACAATCCTATCTGATTATTATCTCTTGAGCACAAAGGCAAAGAGGACAAATGCCATGTACTTTCACTGACTGATAATTGAACCCTTGGCCAGATCAAGGGTTACTATTTATTCATTCAGGAACTCACTGCATGAGGTTTGTGGTAATCGTCAGGGGTATCCCTTTATTCCAGATGATTAGGATAAGGAGACATAGTATGGGGGTGAGGTCAACTGTATTCGGTGTAAGGTGTGACATATCTACTATTTCCTTTACTTAAGCATGGTATTAATCGGTTATCTTTAGTCCTAAACATGTAATTTTTTTTTAGTTCCTGATCCAGCTGCTGTTATCTTTAGTATCCAGGACTGTCTCTGACAGCCAGTGTTGTTGACTCATTTTCTATTTTTATTATCTAAAGTAAACACGAAAGCCAATGACTTTGAACAGGGTGACATGCGTTACTCCATGAGGAAGCCATGACTATTTCCAATCTTGTGACTGTATAGGTGTAAAGTCAGCCATTCACTCCCTTCTCATGATGAACTCTGAAACGGCTGCTGCCTGCGTTACCTTCGTGTAATTGGAATGCTCAGCTCTGTGAGGAGTACCAACCACAACTGCACCAACAAAAACATAGTATAGAAGCTCCGAACCAGCACTCTTCAATCATGTGAACTGTTGGCATTAAAGGGGCACTTCATGTTCCCTCTGCACATTTTCCCAAGACTTCTCTGACACTCGACAGGATGAAATCATGGAGCAAAGATTGAAGAGACAGAAATAAACCTTGTTTTTCACTGATACACAACATTGGAGTCCTGTAGAGGAGCGGTTAGCAAGCAAGAGGACCCAGGTTCGATTCCCAGGCCAGGTGAAACCTTAGTCATGTTTTGTGTCTCGCACTCCTCTGTAAGTAGGAACCCGGTTGTTAGTCGATTGGCGGATCGTTTCTGGGGATAATAATACTTCAAAATAAAATCCACGACTCTTTGTGAGACACTGCTGTGTGCAATTGGCTGCCGCATTTCGCCCACAAAATATGTAGTCAATCCACTTTACAATATATTCTGTGAAGCGCTTTGAAACAACTCAACGACATGTTAAGGTGCTATATCAAATGCAAGGATTATTATAACTGCCTCCTCCCTATTCTCTAACAAAGCCCCTATTCAGTGATTTTTGCATTACCCATTTGGATCACAACATCAATAACAACTTGCACCAATGTAGCACCTTCCACGCAGGGTAGCGTCTCAGAGCGCTTAACAGTGGCGGAACCTGACTGTGAGCCCGGGTGGGCTAGATGATGTAAGCACGTCGAAAAGGAAGGTTTTCAGGGGGAACTTGAAAAAGGGGAGAGAGGGGGCAAGGTGGAGGGATTGAGTGTTCCAGAGTTTCGGGGCATAGTGGCTGAAACTGCAAACTCCAATGGTGGAGCGGAGGGTGCGAGGGATGAGCAGGAGGCTGGTGCCAGTCGAGTGGAGGTGCCGGGTGGTGGATTGGGGAGTGAGGAGGTTGGAGAGGTAGGGAAGTACCAAGGAGTGAATGGATTTGAACATGAGTGTGAGGATCTTGAAGTCGATCCGTTCAGTGATGGGGAGCCAGTGGAGCCTGGTCAGAATTGCTGAGATGGGGGTACAGAGTTTGGTCCGGGTCAATATACGGGCGGCACCGTTCTGAATGAGCTGGATTTTTGGAATAGTGGAGCTGGGTAGACCAGTGAAGAGTGCGTTTCAGTGCATTTCAAGAATCCAGTGGGAGGTGACAAATGCATGCACGAGGGTTTTGGCTGCATCTGGGGTAATGTACGGTCAGAGGAGGGCAATGTGGCAGAGAAAGGCTGTCCTGCTCAGCCAAAGAGTATGGCTTCCATCTTGTCCATATTCAGCTGCAGGAAATTTGCACTCATCCAGGCCCTGATGTCTGCCAGACAAACTGATAGAATATCGGCGGATCTGGAATCAATACTGGTGAAGGCAAAGTAGATTTGTGTGTCATCTGCATACATGTGGAAGTTTACCCCATGTCTGCGGATGACATGGCCCAGAGGGAGCATATAGATGAGGAATAGAAGAGGGCCAAGGATGGAGCCCTGGGGTACCCCGCAGGTGACTGGAAGGGGGCGGGAGGAGAAACCATTTGCCGAGATGAAGTGGAGATGGTTGGTTAAGTAAGACCCGAACCATGCGAGTGTGGTCCCACTAAGGTGGATGAGGTAGGAGAAGTGGTGGAGGAGGATGGCGTGGTCCACTGTGTCGAATGGATCTGAGAGGTCCAGGAGGACAAGGAGACAGAGGGAGCCCTGGTCGCAGATGTCATTTGTGACTTTAACAAGTGTTGTGGGCAGGGCGAAAACCAGATTGCAAGGGATCGAGGAGGGAGTGAAGGGAGAGGTGTTGACCTACAACAATGCGTTCCAGGACTTTAGCAAGGAAGGGTAGGTTGGAAATGGGACAACTCAACATGCGATCAAATCACGTGTTGAATTGCGAATGGGAGACAAAACACAAATAAAATAATTAAGCTCATTAACAACAGATCAAACCTACAGATCTTCATTACTAAATAAGGCCTCCTCCCCATTATCAGCATATTGCGAATAATTACATTGAGGTGACATTCCAATAAGCACCTCTGTTACCGTGTAAGAAATTACCATGAGGTAATGTCAATATCCTTCAGGAGACTGATAAATTTCTCCACCAGGGGTTGGCAGAAAGGTCCCAGTAAGGTGTCCCAATTTGGCTGCAGGTACTCTGAGACTCTTCGTTGTACGTCATTCTCACAGCACAGAATGTCATCATTAGTTGTTATCACATAAGGAATTATATAATATTTCCCTCTGGAGGCCTAATGAAAGAAAACACACAACAGTAGCGAAAGCTGACAATATTAATTATACTGTATTGCACAATGATGATTTTCTATTGCCCTGAAAGCAAATTTTTTAATGAGACCTGCTATCGCTGGGCGCTATCATCAAGAGGGGGGGTCCTTGATTACCATTGGGGATTAGGAAGCATTTTTTCAGACATTTCTCCCAGATAATAGATGCATGTGATAAATCTATTCTAGGTCATGAACTGTGGAGGGAGCAGATCGAAGAGAAAATTGTATTTTTTCATTCCATGTATTCTTAATCTGAAATACTAGTGGTGGCAATTGAGCTGAGTGTTTTTAGGCACAGCGTTGTCATGTTTTAAGTGTTTGTTGTTTTAATTAAGGAACATTCAATAAGTATCAGCAGATGGAACAAAGCTTAGACTCAGTCTAGCTTTAGGATTGCTTAAATCCTACCCAGTGACAAAAAACTGCATTTAAAAATGGGTGACTGAAAACAAGAGGACACACGAGCTAAAACAGGTTAATTGTATCTACACAGACAAGGATGCTCCACCTGATGGTAGGTATCAAACTTTCCTTAAATAAAACAAGGAACGGTTTAAAACACCACTCATTTTACCTCTGTGTTTCTTATGGTGTGTTTGACAACCTACTCTGGGCCAGGAACCCACTGTAAATAGGTTTTCAGAGTTACCTGGGATTTCCTATCTAAAGATCTATATTGAATGAAATGTTGTTGGAGAATCACTTACCATGTTCTTCTGAGAAACCATGTTCTAATGGAACAGAAAACAAAGAGTAAGGTTAGTCTTCAGTCGGTGAATCTCTGGAACTCCTTGCCTCAATCCCTCCATTTGCCCCATCTTTGACAATCTTCAAAGCACAGTGAAGACTTTCCTCTTCCACCATGCCTTCGGTTACCTGCACTCTTGTTCTAGCTTGGTGCTATGCTTACACCGCTGTTAAGAACCCCAAGGTACTACCCACGCTAAGGGCACTATAAAAATGCAAGTTGTTGTTGTGTGTGAGTGACGATGGAATCTTAAAGCTCTCTCTAAATGCTCACAAATGAATTGTGCCGTAAGGGTTCTTCAGAAAAGTTGTTGCATCACTGACTACAAAAGCACATTGGATGTAAACTCCATCTCCAGCAAAGATTCCTACGTATGTCACGCTGACACATGAAACACCAGCTTCAATTCAATGTTGTCTCAAAAATGCGATCTCGTGAGTCAGTGTGACATATATGGGATTACTGCTGGAGACACAGTCTGTACCACAAGACACTTCTTCCAATAGTGAACCATTAGAAACAATTTCTAGACATCTAGCAACATTCCCCCACTTTCTCTCATTTTTAAATGAGCCCATTGCCCTGCCCACCCAGAGAGATACCATTGTTAGTTAAGTCCCCAGTTTAATATTTGCTCTGACAATACAGTGCTCCTCCAGCACTGAATGTGAGTGCCAGAACTCAAAGACTCAACCATGGGCTTCAACCCACAACCTCTGACTCAGAAGAGAGAATGCAACTGACTGAGCCAGGCAGAACCCTACCATATTTCATTGATCACTGGTGTTTCATCAAATTTGCCATTTTTACTTGACATAATCATAACAAGTTACACAGCTGGTAAGGTGGGAGTGTGAAAATCACTAACCTTAAATGAATGCATAGTGTCCAGGTCAGTGTCATGGTACAGAATCACGCTGTTCGCCATGTCAAAGCTTTCTCGAACCCCCAGATGATAAACATACGTTGGCTGCCGGAAAACATCACTCATATCCACCACAGCAATGTCTGAAAAGCAAGGGCAGGACCCCAATGTATTAGGATAAGCTGCACTCCCCCATTGAACTCATTAAAAACCAGCTTGATGCTGTGACGGGAGGCCAGTATGATGGGTGTTTGGAAGATAAGATTAGATGGGCTGAAGGAAAGGCCTGTTTCATCTGAACTAATCTTGTGATCTTGTGATTACAGCCTTGCAATTGGTATTGTGCATCTCGCTGCTTACTTTAAAAAACTAGAGTGTTCACTTGTGGTTTTGTTTGTACAGAGCAAATGCTCATTGCAGCTGGAGCAGCTGTGGGGCACTACAACTAATTCCAGTGTTCTTGAGTTAAGGAAAGGAAAATGTCAGTAACAATTCCCATTCCTGACCAATAATAATATTAACAACCTCTGCATTTGATGAAACATTTTGCATGTTGGGAGGGCATCTCAAAGGATATACTGTGAAGTGTGTTCACTGTGTAGGCAAATACAGCGAACACCAATCTCCCAAATAAAATTTGTCACTCACTTCATGGTTGTATGTGGGACGTTGCTGTGCACAAATGGGCTGCTGCATTCACCTACAAAATATAGTCACTGCACTTTATGGTATATCCTGTCAAGTACTTTGAGACATCCTCCCTAGTTGAAAGGCAGTATATCAAAAGCCAGGTTAATTTTTTTTTGCAAGTGTTGGTTGAGTGTTGATTGCATTAGTTCACATAGCACTGAGGGAGTGGTGCGTAACGCAGGGGTTTCATTTTATTGGCACCAGTATTGGGGGAAAAGGGGTCTGTTTCAAAAAGATGGGCTCCACTTAAATCGGGCTGGGACAAATGTCCTAGCAAACCGAATACATGGGGAAGTAAATAAGGCTTTAAACTAGTAAAGGGAGGGGCATACAATTAGAAATAACCGCAAGGTAGCAATATTGAGAAAACTAAAGGTGACATAACAGAATAGTGAGAGAGGTAAACAGAATACGTCAAAGAGGGGTAAGAAGCTCAGTAAAGAAGATAGGGCATCAGAGAGTAGGGGAAATGGTAAGAAATGAAAATCTCTATATCTGAATGCACAAAGCATTCAGAATAAGGTAGATGAATTAAAGGCACAGATAGATACAAATAGGTATGATCTAGTAGCCATAACTGAGAATGTTAAAGGGAGATCTAGGGTGGGAGTTAAATATTCTAGTGTTTTCAGCTTATAGGAAGGATTGACAATGTGGAAAACGAGGTGTGGGGGGGGGGGGGGGGGTAGCCTTGTTTATAAAGGTTGGAACAAAAGCAGTAGAGAGGAAAGATTTCAAATCAGATAACCAGGATGTAGAGATGGTATGGGTAGAATTATAAAATAACAAGAGGCAGAAAACATTAGTGGGAGTAGTTTATAGAACCCCAAACAGTGATCACAACATAGCGCAGGGTATTAATCAGGAAATTAGAGAAGCATGTAGCAAAGGTAATACAGTAATAGTGGGTGATTTCAATCTTCATATAGATTGGGAAAACCAAATCGGCAAAAGTAGGATAGAGGAAGAGTTTATAGAGTGTATGAGAGATAGCTTTCTGGAACAGTATGCTGAGGAACCAACTAGGGGACAGGCCGTACTAGACCTTGTTTTGTGTAACGAAACAGGACTAGTCGGTAGTATAGATATTAAAGCAGTTCATCTGTGGCTAACTCGAGCAGTTAGAGAAAATATAAAACTAAAAGAAAAGGCCTATAAAACTGCCAAAAAGAGTAGCAAATCTGAGGACTGGGAGTGTTTTAGAGACCAACAAAGGAAAACCAAAAAGCTCATTATGAGTGAGAAAACGGATTATGAGGCATTAAGGAATCCTAGGAACATTAAGACAGATTGTAAGAGTTTTTATAAATACATTAAGAGGAATAGGCTAGCAAAGGTAAATGTGGGTCCATTGCAGGCAGAGACAGGAGGAATTATAATGGGGAATAAGGATATGGCAGAGTAAATAAATACTTTGCTTCTGTCTTCACTTTAGAAGACACAAGAAATTTACCAGAAATAGAGATGAACCAAGGGACTAATGATAGGGAGCAACTTAGGGAAATCTACATTAGCAAACAATTGGTGCTAGGGAAATTGTTGGCATTAAAAAGTGACAAGTCCCCTGGACCTGATGGTCTGCATCCTAGGGTTTTAAAAGAGGTAGCTCATGAGATAGTGGAGGCCTTGTGTCTGATCTTCCAAAATTCTTTGGATTCTGGAACAGTTCCCATTGATTGGAAGATCGCAAACGTCACACCACTATTTAAGAAGGGTGGGAGAAAAAAGATGGGGAACTATAGATCAGTTAGTCTGACATCGGTGGTAGGGAAAATTCTAGAATACCTAATTAAGGATGTCGTAGTGGGATACTTAGAGGATCACAATATGATTAGACAGAGTCAACATGGCTTTACAAAAGGGAAGTCATTGCTTAACAAATATTTTAAATTTTTTTGAGGGCATATCAAGTAGATTAGATAGGGGGGAATCAGTGGATGTAGTGTATTTAGATTTCCAAAAGGCATTCAATAAGGTGCCGCATAAAAGGTTGATCCACAAGATTAGGGCCCATGGAATTAAGGGGAATATATTAGCATGGATTGAAGAATGGCTAACGGGAAGAAAACAAAGAGTAGGGATAAATGGGTCCTTCTCAGATTGGCGGGATGTGACTAGTGGAGTGCCACAAGGATCAGTGCTTGGGCCTCAACTATTTACAATCTACATCAACGATCTAGATGAGGACATCGAACTTAATGCATCCAAATTCGCGGATGACACTAAACTAGGAGGGAGAGTAAACACCGAGGATGACATTAAAAAAATGCAACCAGATATAGATAGGCTAGGTGAGTGGGCAAATAGGTGGCAGATGAAATATAATGTAGGGAAGTGTGAGGTCATCCACCTAAGTGGCAAAAACAGTAGAGCAGATTATTTTTTAGAAGGGGAGAAACTAGATAATGTTAACGTTCAGAGGGATTTGGGTGTCCTTGTACACCAATCACAAAAAGTTAGTTTGCAGGTACAGCAAGCAATTAGGAAGGCTAACGGTATGTTGGCATTTGTTACAAAAGGGTTAGAATATAAGAGTAGGGAAGTCTTGCTGCAACTGTATAGGGCCCTGGTAAGACCGCACCTAGAGTATCTTGTGCAGTTTTGGTCTCCTTATTTAAGAAAGGATGTATTCGCCTTGGAGTAGGTACAACGAAGATTTACTAGGTTGGTACCAGGGATGAGGGGGATGAGTTATGAGGATAGGTTGAGCAATTTAGGCCTATATTCTCTAGAATATAGAAGAATGAGAGGTGATCTTATAGAAACCTACAAGGTTATTAAGGGGCACGACAGAATAGATAGTGGGAGACTTTTTCCCGTGGTTGGAGAAACTATAACCAGGTCACAGTCTTAAAATTAGGGGTAAGCCCTTTCGCACTGAGTTGAGGAAAAACGTCTTTACTCAGAGGGTAGTAAATTTATGGAATTCTCTACCCCAAAGGGCTGTAGATGCTCAGTCCTTGAACATATTCAAGACTGAGATTGATAGATTTCTTGTGGATAAAGGGATTAAGGGATAATGGGGATAAGGCAGGTAGGTGGAGTTAGAATAGATCAGCCATGGTCTTATTGAGTGGCGGGGCAGGCTAGAGGGGCCGAATGGCCTACTCCTGTTCCTAATTCCTATGTTCTAATGGTTCCCCAATTACAAGTTTTTGAAGTATTGAGCCAATAAATGCTGATTTAACTTCATCGTGACTCAGAGGATTGGAGTGAGGAAGAAAAATCCCAGTGTACCAAGATAAGTGGAGTACAGTAAGTCCTATGAAGTGTTTTGTGATGTTCTGATGAACTGACAAGGCTCTATATCAAATGCAAGGAATATTAGCTTGTCTAAGTTCAAAATGAGTCCAGAAGTAAAACATAGCCTTTTCCTGCCTGCAGTGAGATTTCAAATTATGGGTGACATGAAAGCTCATGGAAGGTTAAGGTTACACTCAGGCTTGTCCTGCACACAGCTGAGCATTGTTGCTGAAACTGAACCAAGAAATAATAATAATAATCCTTGCATTTTGATATAGCGTTTTTGCGTCTTCTAGACGTTCTCAAAGTGCTTCAGAGAATATACTGTAAAGTGAATTGACTGTATATTCGTGAGCGAAACGCGGCAGCCAATTGCGCACAGCAGTGTTCCAAAAACAGTCTTGGATTGAGTGATCAAATGTTATTGCTTTTTTATCTTCAGGGATTATTATCAGCCGTGTGGAGTAAGGAAACTTGCCTAAGGTTTCACCCTGCCGGGAATCGAACCCAGGTCTCTCAAGGCTAGTGCTCTAACCACTGAGCTACAGGACTCCACGTTCCTGTTCAGAATTGCTTTGAATTCGAAGAAAACGCCAACACGGTTTATCTTGCAGTCAAAATAATGAGACTTTTATGCTGTACTATTGAATATCAATCAGATGTACAGGAGGCTGATCCTGTCTGACACAACTGTCTATGATGAAAGTCCTGTAGCTCAGTGGTTAGAGCCCTCGCTTCACAAGCAACAGATCTGGGTTCGATTCCCGGCAGGGTGAAAACTTGGGCAAGTTTCCTTACTCCACACGCCTGCTAATAATCCCTTAAGAATAAAAAATAAAAATAAATGAATAATAAGTAAATTATAATAATTTGTGGGATACTGCTGTGGCTGCCACTTTTCACCCACAAATATACAGTCAATTCACTTTATAGTATATTCTGTAAAGTGCTTTGAGACATCTAGAAGACGTGAAAAGCGCTATGTCAAATGCAATGATTACTATTATTACCTGATGTTAAGTCACTTATTTGTCCTGTGGCTATTGGATTCTGAATGGGATAGCAGCTTTACTCTGAGGTTTAGGACCGTGACGTTGAGGTCAATTATAGCCTGTGAAATGGTGCCTGGCTGATATTAGCTAAGCCAGTAATGATCATGAATTGAGCTGTGTCTTTCTGTTCCTTGTGGCTTATTGTTAGTCTGGCTGTA